CCCCAACAGCCGACTCACACTGTCGCCCAGTACCAACTTCGACACAACCTCCCCGCCTCTACCCATTCCAGTAGCCTCACCCGCAGTAGTCCAGAACGGCCTGGTGGCGGTCACCAATGGGAAGCTGTCCCCGCCCCGGTTTCCTCTCGCTGTAGTCAGTGGCAGCGTGACGGCACCGGGATACGGGTTTGAGACCAGTGAGGAGGACATAGATGTAGATGACAAGGTGGAGGACTTGATGAGGTAAGGCCCCATCAGCTCATTGCAGATGTATGGGTGTACAGTCAGCAGATAAATGACACGTTTTTTTTAATCACGTAAATATCAGATCTGTTTTGAGACAGTGTCCCCTTTTTATAGTTTGTCCAACAGAGAGTAATGACAAGTGGTGTCAATTTTGTCAGCCATTTTTTATTTAGTCTCGGGTCCTGTGTTAAAATGACCTTGTTTGTTTTTTATTATATTTAGTCAGCATATATATATTTTTAAGACTAAGTTCTGGATATTTTGTAGTAATAGTATTCAAAGAAAAAACCCAGAACTCTCTTTTTTATCAACAATTTATTTTAGTTTTGGATGCGCTACATTCTACAATTGAGTCCAAACTGACTAAATATCATCACAGTTATCGCCTTGTTTAAGTTAGGGGAAAAAATGTGTTTGACCAACTTATTTACCTTTTTTAAACAAATGATCTCATTTATTTTTCAACTGTAGAATTAGGGATGGGTATCGTTAAGGTTTTAACGGTACTACTACTTTTATCGATACCGCTTATCGATCCGGTCCTTTAACGGTACTTTTATCGGTTCTTTTGGAGAAAAAAATAAGGTAACCTAACTAAACAAATTGTGAACAAAATGAACATTGCTTTTTATTTAAATTAAATAAACATCAAAAGAAACAACAATGTTTTAACAAATCGTATTAAATAATCTAATGACAGAACTGTAAACAGAATAGCTGAAACTTGAACTAAATAAATAACTCAGTTACCTCTAATCATTAACCCATGTTTGTATCATTGAGTTAACTCCGTGTGTTGCTGCTAGCACACATAATACCTGACGTGGAAACGTTACTCGTGGATGGGGCTACAGAGCTACTAGAAAGACAGTCGAACCCGGGGCATTTCTCCGTCTAAATGTGGTGCACTTTTGCTAAATGTTTCGACAGATTGCTCGTGTTACCGCCCTTACATGCTAAACTCTTATTGCACTTTTGGTAACGAGCATTGTCCACATCGAGACGGGTAAAGTTTAACCACACCTCGGAGCGCGTTCTCTCCGCCATCTCCTCCGTGTGTGTGTTGCTGCATGTAGCAGCTGCGTGTGTGTTGCTGCATATAGCAGCTGCGTGTGTGTTTGTTGCTGCATGAAGCAGCCGCGTGTGTGTAAACTGCCCCGCCCCCTCGCACACAGACGAGGGAGAGATCTCTCGTCTGGATTGGAAAGATCGAAAATACTACAAATAATCATAGACGCATTTTGCAGTCTTTTTGCGTATTAGAAACGGAGTTGGCGACACTAAAACTGCATGTAATGTTTGTGTAGCAATAATACATATGACATATATTTTTTACATGTCTCCAGTACCGATAAAAAGACCGATAACGTCGGAGCTTAACGGTACCACGGTCTTTAATAATTCAGCCCCTGGGCCCGTTTAATACCGGGGCTCGGTACCCATCCTTATGTAGAAAGTCCTGCCAGTGTATTTCTGTGGTACATAAACTTGATTGTCCTAGTTGGCAACTCGAACCCTCATTTCCCTTGACTGCCAGGAATCCCCTACTTGTTGCTGGCTGAATTTAAGAGAGGCAGAACTCCAATATATGTTTTTGTTTTAGAACCCACTGAAAGCTGGTTGCCTTGAAACTTTCGAATAGCTTGCAGATATCTTATCAAGGTGTCCCATTTCAGTTGATTAGGTCTTGTGATTTTACTCTTCTGTGTTTTAACAGTTTAAACGGTGAATAAACTGAAAATGATATACAGTAGAGAGCTTCAGCAGAAAGAAGGTCCTAAGCTTAGCAATTCAGCTTTAATGTCTTATTATTTCCTAATACAAATATTGTAATGTGTTGTTATGTGCTTACGTACTTACTTGTTCTTACTCTTTATTTTTTTGTATTGGTCTTTTATTTTTTTGATCTAAAATGGAGCGATTATTACAAAACCCAATTTCCGGGATTTATAAAGTAATCAGATTCTGATGCAAACAGCATGGCGGTTGAAAAAGTCTGCCTGTAGCTCTCACTCGATCTAAATGTGATCCATGGATAAATGCCTACACACACTCACACATACAGCACTGTACACACACACACTCACACACTCACTCGTGTCTCTCATCTGTAGTCTGCAGTGAGACAGCAGCAATCAGAGTGGTATTGATTTGAGGGCGTGTGAAGATGAAATCATGCCAGGAATCAGAGACTGTAATAGCAAGATGGGCCTCTGATTCCTGCACATATTCAGCTCAACAGCTGCTGCCATTTACATACTGTGTGTATATATGGAAGGGCAGATTTACAGCTGGTTTCAGTATAGTGACTCTGTTATCTTGTGCCATATGTGTAATGTCAGCCTGCCAGAGATGTAAACATTTATTGTACTTGGTAAACAGTAGATTCCCATGTCTGCTCACAGGAGGGACAGTGCTGTGATCAAAGAAGAGATTAAGTCTTTCCTGGCCAACAGGCGGATCTCCCAGGCCGTGGTCGCTCAGGTAACGGGTGAGTATCGCCTTCACCCGGATCTCAAACGGGCCAATTGAATCACATAGAGTTGTCATGCCAGCATTCGATACAGATGTGGCTCCGTTCCTCTTCCTCCAGGGATCAGTCAGAGCCGGATCTCCCACTGGCTGCTGCAGCAGGGCTCGGACCTCAGCGAGCAGAAGAAACGAGCCTTCTTCCGTTGGTACCAGCTGGAGAAGAGCAACCCCGGTAACACAGCCCGCACCATCACACCTGCACTGGCAACACTGAAGCGTTGACTTGTACTACTACTATTAAAAGTATTATGTCAAGAAATGTCACATAACTCTATGAGTTTAGTTGAAAGAAATAATATTGATTTGAAGTTTTTATTCAAACTTAATAGTATTGCTTTCAACTAACCTCATACAGTTTTGTGAAATCTTAACCAGCTCCACTGAATGCTTGACTTCAACAACCCCTTAGAGCAGGGGTGGGGAACCTTTTTCCTCTCTAGAGGAGGTTAGGTCCCCCGGGAAGATTTCTTTTTAAATGTTGAAGTTAAAAGCATCAATCTGGTGCAACATTAGGAGATCTATGGATACATCTCTCAACACCCATATGAAACAGAACTGTAAGCAGATTTCTTTTTCTTTATGGATATTTTACAAATCACTCTCCTTTTAAACTGTATTCTTGTTTATTAATAACAACTTTATTTTACTGTCATATAGTATTTTATACCTGTTTACTTTATTCTCTTATTTTTTTATAACTATAATGATCATATAAAGATGTGCCTTTACCTCACTGCTTGGAGAAAAAGCTTCTTATATTCGTTAGCATAGCTAGCTAACCAGATGCTAATAACAACAAAGTTATTGACTGTATGATCAGTATGACAGATGAACAGATCGCCACTGGGCTTACAACTAAGACACAGCCAGGCAAAAACTGCAGCATGTGTACGGCTCCTTATGGGTACTGACATTTCTGAAGTGGCAGAGCGGCGTTCTGGTGTTCTCCGTCAGCACTACACCCCTGTCAGACGAGACATATACCCGTTAGGCTCGTGTTGTGTTCAAGGACCCTGACCTTGGCCAGGAAAAACAGGTACTCGCTTGTTTAATTATTTTGCGGTCTAGGTTTCTTTAATCTTTTTCTTTTTTGCGTGTGTTAATTACCTCGAGGGCCGTACCAAATGGTCTCGCGGTCCGTGGAGGCCGGAGGTTCCCCACCCCTGCCTTAGAGTTTCTGAACGCTCACTGACAAATCTGAAACGTTGACTTTAATTCAATTTATTATGTTAAAATATTTCACATAACTGTATTAGGTTAGTTGAAAGCAATAATATTACATTTAACTAAAAAAACGTAAGGTTCAACTTAATATAATTAGACTAACCTAATACAGTTTTGTGAAATTTGTTGACGTAATCCATTTAATTGAAGTCAACGTTTCCGTTTTTTCAGGGCTGACTTAGAAAAAATCAGAACGTTCCGACTACCACACAATAGGGAGAGCTGTTTAACTGCTGAAAACACGTTGTCATTGCATATTGTCAAAGTCTCCTTCAGTAGGACCCTGTACTGTACCTTAGCTCATTGGTATTCATAGCTGTGATGTCTACATGTACTCAGAGTGGTGAAACCAAGTTTATGGGCATTTGGACAGTTGCAGATTTGATATAAGTTGTAATCAAAAGTCTTCGGGTAGTCTGCTTTTTTATGGGCATTTCGAGAATCCCCCTGGGGACAGAAATAAAGACAGCAGTTTTCCTGTGATTGAACAATAAGTGGTCTGTATTAAGTGGAGAGCAACACAGAGGAATGTACGATCAGCACAGACTACTTATCCTGTGTCTCCCCTTGAAGGATGCTCTAATCAGAGTCCCTTGACTTTAATTTGGTTCATGGCTCGATGCTCTTAAATAAATGTCAGGGTGTAATGAATTACTCTTTGTCCTCCAACCTCATGATGAAGTGTACTCGCACTTAAGGAACATTGTACAACCAATTCAAAATGTTATTTTCAAGTGATGAATAGAAAATTGTGAATTAGCGAGAAAATGAACAAAAATAAAATGAGACCTTTTATGTACGCTGTCTGGTTTTTGGGACTTCAGGTGCCACTCTTGCCATGCGAGCCGCCCCATTGGCTATGGAGGAGGTGATCGACTGGCAGCAAGCCCCGCCTCCTTTTGGCTCGGCTCCCGCGGGCTTCCGTCTGCGGCGGGGGAGCCGGTTCACCTGGAGGAAGGAGTGTCTGGCTGTGATGGAGAGGTGAGGGAGAGGGGTGCACTGTAAAGAATATTACATTGGCTTTTTATTGATCTCTGCCAGGCCTGTTAGGAGATTAAGCGTTTAGTCTGCATGTGCCTTGAACTGTCTTTCTGTCCGGAGCTAAATAGCACATACTGCTGGACCTATCAGCCTTACATTTTTTGTGAAAATGTAAGATTGTATATTTAAGGACCTCGCCTAATTGCAGTGATTCAGAACTTTGGAAAGAACCTAACCTTTTTTATTGACTGTTCTATACCGACATCGCTGCTGACTCTCATTGTTCTCGCACTCTACTGAGGGACCTTTTCTAGTTGTTGTTACATGGAGTGGTGAATGTGTGTGTGTGTGCACAGCTACTTCATTGATAATCAGTACCCTGATGAGGCGAAGAGAGAGGAGATTGCCACCGCCTGCAACGCAGTCATTCTGAAACCAGGTAGGTAAAAACAGCGCTTTATGACGTTGGATTCTCTTTCTAGACGTTGACTAAAGAGATAATCCACAGTACTTTGCTAGATATAATAAATACAAATGCTTGGTTATCATAATACATTTACTTTTAGCACCTTGGTAGTAGGCATCTAGCTCTTGTATCGGTAGCAGCTTTTACTGAATGAAAGAGTGAGGGTTAATAGTTTGCACATAACTGTTCATAAGCTCCTTTCATAACCCCTTCATGTGAATTAGTAATTGTATATTGGTCATGTAGCTAAAAAAGTTAACTAGAGGAGCCACATCATGACAGACATGCAACTTAAATATTTTGCAGAAGCATTGTGTCTTTGACCATTGTCTGGAAGCTACTTTATGATCAACATTCACAGAGGGAGACTTAAAGTGGACCTATCATGCAAAATGCACTTTTGTACGTCTTTTATACATGAATATGTGTCCCCGGTGTTCCAGGGAACTCACCAAGTGTCAGAAAATACAACCCTCTCTCTTTTCCTCCGTACCCAAATCTTTTAAAAACGGGGCTACAACGAGCGGATACAGATTCCATCCGACCCGACGTCAGCCCGGAATAGTGGGCGGTGACGCTCCGCCTACATGGGCAACGCTCCACCTATCAGGGGAATGAGAGGTTGCCGTGGCATGGTAACAGCATGGTAACAGCATGGTAACATGACGCTCGTGCCTCGCCCCCCTCCTTTGCAGGGGGGCGAGGTCAGCTGCAGCTCATTTGCCACAGAATCAGCCCTTGCAAAAACAGTGCTGGAATACAGCTAATAGAGCGAAATGAGGCATGGCTAAAATGCATGATCTGTTTGAAAAACTTCACAGACATGTTTTATATAGGTATGGCCCTACAATATATTATTCAAATATAGCATGATAGGTCCACTTTAAGTTGTGTATTTGTGTGTGTTTTACAGGAAAGAAGCTGTCTGATTTGGAGAGGGTAACTTCTCTAAAGGTCTACAACTGGTTTGCCAATCGGCGTAAAGACATCAAGAGGCGCGCTAACATTGGTAATGTCTATCTCTATTTTGTTGCTGCGTTGTTGTTAGGATGACAGGTTATTGAGTTGTTTGCAATCTACAGACACAAATCCTACCTTTAACATGAAGCATATGCTTAGAAAATGATTGTTGTTTATCTCTTTAATAACCATATCACATCTAATCTAAAGTCAAATTAATTTGGGATGTTCTTAATGAGCAATTCCTTCATTCTTACCTGACCCTGCATCTGAGTGTGTTGTTGTCTGAGGTCGATATGCTATGATGAGGTTTGGGTTTTTGAAGAAGCAGCCATCTTGGAGAGCCATGGCATCGAGGTCCAGAGTCCAGGCGGTCAGTCCAACAGCGACGAGGTGGACGGCAACGACTTCCCCGACCAGGTAAACCACACGTCAATGAGTCATGATGATCATTCACTGAGCCGCTCAGAGGTATGGAACAGTGAACATATAGCTGGGCTCAGTGAAGTTACACAGTGTAACCGTGTTTAAATAAACATTGAGTCACATAGTAACCGTATAAGTAACCAGCTGTGAAGAAGTCTTGTTCTTGAGACAGAACATGACCTCTGTGCTGCTCTGTCTCAGGGCTGCGAGGTGTCCTTATTCGACAAGAGAGCTTCAGCCAGGCAGTTTGGATTCAGTCGAGCTGACCTGTCCTCTCCAACCCAGGTACAACCCACTACACACACACTCACACACACTCACACACACACACACACACACACACACACACACACACACACACACACACACACACACACACACACACACACACACACACACACACACACACACACACACACACACACACACAGCCTCAAAAGAGCTCTGGCTTCAGATGAATAGATGAGCGCTGATATAAGGACCAAGAACCGAGAACAAAAACGTTCTTCAAACAGTCGCACCAAGTACATGCTACACAATCTAGCTTTCACCTTCTAAGAGGCATTGTCAACTTTAAAAAAGGCCCACTTGTACTTATTCAAATGACCTACATGTACACAGCTAGTTATAAATGGCAGATACAGCCCTAACATGATTAAGGGCTTGATTTACCTTCTCGTCTGTGAAACACAAAGTGAAATAGTTAACTGTTGGATGAACCTTAGCACTCAGGAATATAAAGGTGTATTTGTTTAACACAAGCAAAGAGATCTGTAAAATGTTTTCTATTAGCAATAAAGTGTATTGTATGAAAATCAAGAGCATCTCTCTTTTTACCACCTCAGTGCTGCTGAAAGATGCACGGCAGCAGCTTCCTGTTTACTTTTTCCTTATTGATATTTTTTATAAGAATAAGATGAGTAAATGTTAAATCAAGTGCTTAAGAAATGTTAAATGTCCCATGTCATGGCCATTTCCACTGATCATAATTCCATTGTTGAGGTCTACTAGAATAGATTTATACTGTCCAATTTTCCAAACTCACATTGGTTTCTCATACAGCATCTCTGTAAAGTATGTGTATTCACCGGTATTCACTCTCTGTCCTAAACGGCTCGTTGGAGCTCTTGCCCCCCCCTCCATGTGAGCCTAGTGTGCTCCGATTGGTCAGCTCGGCCACTCTGTTCTGATTAGTCAGCCACCAGAGAGGCTCCGCCCATGTCTAACAGTGCTTTTTTCGGCTCGTTCTCAGCGGAACAACAGTCTTATAATGGCGTCGGTACAGCCGTATATTTTATACGCTAACTAACCGAACTGTACCTACAACTGTTGTTATAGAAGAGTAAGTTATTTTTACCTGTAATAAACTACTACTGTTTGATGAGAAATCAAATCATGGTTTGCTATATATGAATGATATGTTATAGGCAGGGGTGCACACAACTTTCTCAGTGAGGTACTCAGATGAGTACCTGGAGTCAGTGTTTGGTACTCCAACTTCTGGCGATTGTCAACGACGGGGGGGAGGGGGGGGCTGGGGGGGGGGAGGGTGGAATACAGCGCTTCGCGATTGTTAACGGGGGGGGGTGGATTGTACTCCAATCCAGTGGTAGTGGAGTACAGAGCTTGGGGCTGCGGAACGTGGGAACGTTGTGATTTACCGACGTTAACAGCAGCCCTGTCTGTGCACAGCACACGGGGACCGGTGATCTAACCGCCTTCTGGAAAAGCTTCACAAGTACGTCGGTACGCAAATGCGCTTTGTGACACAAGTGACGGTACGCATTTCAGATTGTTGCCGCGCATGCGTACCTGCGTACCAGTTATGTGCACCCCTGGTTATAGGAGCAAATAATTCAGGGAAGAAAGGATAGGCCTACTAAGTATTTCCATCAAACTTTATTTTTAGAAATGTACAAAATGAACATGCGTAAATATACATATATACACTGTATATCATCCATTCCTCCCCTTATAGGCGTTTTCGGCATCTTGCCTATCGCAGCTTTGTAAGCGGCTGCCGGGGCTTTTTAGGACAAGGCATCATTGTGGTCATCCCGTGTGTGTGTTGTCCGCCAGATACGCCAGGAGTTTCCTGATCTGGCTGGACGAAATCAAATGCAAATCACAAAGATATTAGAGAAACTTAGTTGTGTTAGATTCGTTAGTAGTAGTTGTGGTAGGAGTGTGTATCTATCTAATCTATCTATCTAATCAACACAGTTAGCTTGCCAGCTAATATGCTAACCTACGTTTGCTAGTTGTTCAGTGTAATATGCCAATCTACTATGAACAACAGCTAGTCTAGGCTAGCAAGAACATGTTTACAATTGCAATCTTATACGGGTAGTCTGCTACGTTCGGTCATTCATTGTAGCTGGCATGAAAACAATGTTTTCCCTAGCATGTCTAGCTCTAGCTAGCCTTCTTGTTTAGCTATGTAGCATACACGCTATGAACGGTAGCTCGGTAGCATACATGCCAGGAACGCCAACTATAATGTACTGACCGTACGGTAAATCACCCGGAGTATACTGTCTATGAGTATTTCGTGTGTGATTGCAGACATTCTCCAGCTATGAGATACATGTATGTAAGGCCATCTGCTGATATTGGAATTGATATATGGAAACACTAGCAACTTAGTTAGCACTGCTTGCACACACACAGACACACACACTGCTGGAGGAGCAGACAGGCTTGGCGATACAGCTAGAACAAGCCAAACTCATCCTGAACACACACAAACACTCACAGCCGAAGTAAAAACAATAAGTGTGGCTTTATATTGAGTAAGAAAAAGGTTTATAACGCTGTGAGCATGGGTCTGCGGAGAGCATTTCAACGTAATAGTCCGAAAAACGTTTACCCATTTAAACAGTCGTGGTAGATACCTTGTTTGTTTTAAACATCATAAATACACAAACAACAATGAATACTTACAGGTTGTGTACCTGAACTCCCGCTGGTCCAAACAAAGTAGGAACAGCATCGTTCTTCAGTGCCCTACGCTGTACATATCCGGCATGAATCGCTGAAAGGTTTTGGGAAGCTTTGTTACGTGAAAGGCTGGCAGAGGGTGCGGCCATAGCTCTGGGCGTGGCTACTGGGTATCCCTACGTAGCGATACCCAGGAAGTAAACAATGGAAAATGAGAAATCTCCAACGAGGCGTTTTGGGGAGGTATTTTCTGTGTTAGAGTTTTACTCGCTACAGGGTGTACTTTCAGGGTTTTTGACGCTGCAGACCGTTTACATGCATAAAAACCTTCATAACACACAAGGGGACGGGTAATAACCGTAAAAGCATGACATGGGACCTTTAAATCTCCCATTTCTCAACACAAAGCTATTTACAATTTTTTTCATATTGGTTCCTCCCAGCATGACAAATCGGCTTGCCCAAAGCAAAATATGGAAAATCCCAGATATTTAATTGAATATTAATCATCCGTAGGCAAGAGTCTTTCCATTCTTCAACTTTATCTACCATTACCCCTAGATTCCACCGGGTCCGTCTGTGCCGCGTTACGGCTGCGCCGCGGTTTTGGTCCGGCCTCCTCCGGCGTCATACCCTACCAGGCGCGTTTCAGAAGCATTTCAGAAGCGGAGCGTCTTGCCTGCCGGCTCGCAGTTTTTGTTGATTTGGGCATATTTCTTGGACAGGCTACTTTTAATAATAGTTAGTTAATAATAACTGTAATATTCCAGTTATAAACGACATGAATCAAAGATGTGTTGCTGTATTTTAGTGGTAAAAAAATGCCGCAGACGGACCCGGTGGAATCTAGGGGTTAGGAACCTGACGACCTGTGAATTCGGATGGATTCTGAAACACTCTTATAATATCAATAGTGAAGAGACAAATGTACAGGGCCCTTTACAGTAAAATCTCCAAGAAATAACATCTTTAAAAAATCTACTCATCCTCCCCTCCCCCCCCCCCCCCCCCCCCCCCCCCCCCCCCCAGGTCCCCACGCTGCTCCCCAGCTGGTTCTCCGCTCTGAACAGAGGAAGCTTGTCAGGACAGAGGGGTACGACTCTGATTGGCCGCTCCTTAGTGTCAGCGGCTGGCCCTCAGGCGGAGGCGTCCAGATTGACAGGCGTGTCCTGGTCCCCCCCCTCCTCCTCCCTGCAGGACGAGCCCACGCTGTCCGAGCCCCAGGACCCAATCAGTTTGGAGAAGGCGTCTGTCAATCACAGCAATCAGGTGGAGGGGGCAGGCTGCAGCGGCGGGATCGACATCAAGACGGAAATGCTGGAGGACGACTGAAACAGTCAGCGGACGTTTTAATTGGTCGAATGGAGAAGGATCAGAGGTGTGTTAATATGCAAGCAGATTTTATAGGAATGTAATAAGTGGAAGAAAAAAAAAAGACCAAAAGTCGTGTAAACTCCAACCCTGAGATACCTCCCAACCCTACCTCCAACCTCCAACCTGCTCTGCTACACTCTTATAGGCATTACTAGTATATTATAATAATGACGAAACATAACAAACTACTTTTATTTTGCTCGCCAGCTATGGAAGACAAAACATGCCTAAATAAGTCAAATCAAACAGAGAAAGTGAAATAGATTAGGAATGATTTAATTATGTCTCAAATAGTAAATGCACAGTGTGTATTGTTTTTCACCTTATTTCTTTGCTGATTTGTTTTAGGCATTTTAAATCTTCCGTAAAGACTGACTAACAGGAAGTGATGCCATTTCTTTGGAAAGGGCATCACTGTATTTGACGCAGTTCAAATCATTTCAGGGTCTTGCACTGTGATCACAACACAACTGAACAGCCTCAAAAGATAAAACACAAGTTATTTTAACTGATGTTGCGCTTTTCATCCCAGTTAATTATGTTTCTTTGATATGGTTCGCTGTTGGCTCCTTCCAATGAGTGAATCAGCAGAATAAGCTCAGTATTGTGGAGCTCACAGCAGGTAGGGGATATTTCGGTGGGCTTAAGATGATTTTGGGTAACACTTTATATTAAGGTACACAAATTAACCATCAACTAGTTGTTAATTAACATGCATATTTGCAGTATATTGGCTCTTTATTAGTTATTATAAAACACTTATTAATGCCTTATTCTACATGACCATATTCTACAAGTAATAGGCCATTAGTTGAGAGTTTTTCCTCAATAACCCTCTAATTAGTGCTTATTTGTTGTAAGTAAGAAGGTTGTACATGAGTTTTGGTCTTAATATGCTCTGCTCAATATGGGCCTAATAAGGCAGTAGTACCACAAGAATAGTAATTCTCCCATAATAACACTTAACACATATGATCTATTCTTATGTAACAAGACATGAAACTATAAGTGTTAATTGTGTCTAAATAACTAGGTATTTATATCTAAGAACATGTTCCCTATTTTAAAGTGAAGTCTTGTTCATAACCAATAAGCTAGTAGTTTGACTCTAATTAGGTATTTATATGATTGAACATGTTCCCTATTTTAAAGTGAAGTCTTGTTCATAACCAATAAGCTAGTAGTTTGACTCTAATTAGGTATTTATATGATTGAACATGTTCCCTATTTTAAAGTGAAGTCTTGTTCATAACCAATAAGCTAGTAATTTGACTCTAATTGACCTGAACAGGTTCCCTATTCTAAAGTTGCCTCCTCTTCACACTTTGTAAATACATTATAGCACGCAACTACTGAAATTAACCTCAACAGTACATGAACAAAGTAGGCTCACGTTGAAATATCTGTTTTATTAATGAACCACTAAAAAGAGGTTCAGACACATACCAAAACATGTCAAGTTTCTCCAAGGCTGAAGACACATATGCAGCCTGTACTTTTTAATAAAAACTGATTTTTAAAAGATTTTATGTATTTGTGATCATACTGTGTGACCTGTTACAAGGCACTTAATGATCTCATACATGCAAGTGTAACATACACAGATTAACACATAGGACCGCTAAGTGTAAACAAGGTCAATATAGCTAATGCTAGCTGTGCAATAAGCATGTATATAGGCTAGTATGGCTAACACTAGCGTGTATGCTAATGGTAGCGCGAATGCGAACGCATTTTCTCATTGTGTTTAAACATCTCCAAATGTCATCACATAAACACAATACATGTTACTAATCCTTACAGTGTAAGTGTAAGGCTTACACTTACAGTCATTGCTTTCTGACGGACCTGACCCTTTTACTCTTCAGGTTGCATAGGGAAAATTAGTAGCAGTCTACTCATGGATGTCTACTGCCATGCTATTCAGTTCACTTTCTCCTACTTCCTGTACCCGGTTTCCTGTCTAACCTTCAGTACAAATTTTACAAAAATATAAATGTGCAAATATGAAAGATACAGGTCAATATCACCTTGCTATTGGTAGCTGAACTGTCAATACCCCAAAACATGTTCTTAGATATAAATATCTAATTTTGAGTTATTTAGACTTAATTAACACTTATAGTTTAATGTCTTGTTACATAATAATATATCATATTTGTTAAGTGTTATTATGGGAGAATTACTATTCTTGTGGTACTACTGCCTTATTAGGCCCATATTGAGCAGAGCATATTAAGACCAAAACTCATGTACAACAACTTCCTTACTTGCAATAAATAAGCACTAATTATAGGGTTATTGAATAATGGCTTATTACTTGTAGAATATGGTCATGTAGAATAAGGCATTAATAAGTGTTTTATAATGACTAATAAAGAGCCAATATACTGCTAATATGCATGTTAATTAACAACTAGTTGATGGTTAATTTGTGTACCTTAATATAAAGTGTTACCTGATTTTGAAAACAGAAAAAAGCAGAAAGAAACTAAATGACTCACTCCTCATTGTGCACCCTGGTATAATAAGCTTAATATAAGGAAGTAAAGAAAGGACAACCTAAATTAAATTACATTTGCGGGGTTAGATTTCCCGCTTTGAAATTCTCAGTAGGTATTTCAAGTTCTCAAAATGTAAAGACAACTGAAGAGGCTTTTTGTTGTTGTAGTGGTTGAAGTGTGTTAGCCACTACTTAGCTTTAATGCGTTAATGTTTTAATTATAATTATACAACTTGAGACATTTATGAAATTGACTAACTTAACTTGAATTTCGACCTTTGATTTTAAGAGTTTTTAAAAGGTTTAGAAATTCAAGTTTTTTTTAGTTTTTCTATTTCACAACTTAAATTGGGGGTGTGTTCCAATACCCATACAGATCTACTGTTCTGTAAACAAGTATTATATCGCAGTGCAAAGTATGTCACATGCGGGACGCCGTAAAATACCAGAATGTGCGTTCTGCGTCCGATTCTGAGATCAGATTTTGCAATTAGAATTTGATCTTATTAGTCCTGACTTTCTTAAGGCCTCTCTTTGCTTCTACATTAATAACAAATCATTTAAAAAAAAAGTTCCTCAACACATAAACGTTGATGGTAGCTAAAACTGTGTTTAGTGTGAAACTATAAACCCAGATGGCTGATCACTGTGAGACGATCTCTACCAGATCAGTCCGTTGGGAGGTATTACTACAGATTCAAGTGAATACATACATAAAGTACACATGTATGTACGTGCACACACTCATAAGTATATATATATATATATATACAGTATATCATATCAACTGGGGTATATATATATATTTATCCTGATCCATTTCTATTTACAGTATAATGACATATTAGCTTCAGTCAGTCTTTCATGTTGGTGAGAGGCGAGTGAAGCATTAGCCAAAGTATTACGTTTGAATTGTGTGTGTTTTCTGAGTGTGTGTGATGGATGGAGCTGTGTATTACAGATAGTGTGCTTATCAAAGATGCATCAGATGTGTCAAATTATTGCAAGGAAAATGCATTTCCTTTTTAATTTGTGAAGGTATATCTGTGTTTAGCTGGATATGCCATGTGTTTTAAACACATACTGTCATGTTTTGAATTGTATTTTCATTTGAAATGACACTTTATTGGATCAATATCATGGTGCTGAGAGTGATCAGTATGAATTAATGACGGAGGAGAGAGAGAGTAGGAGGAGAAATTAAAGCTTATCGTTCACATTTTAGAGAGGGATTCTCTTGAAACAAACACAGAAATAAGTGTTTTTAAAAAAAAATAGTCAAGAATTATTTATCACAGTACAGCCATTGTAGAATTCTTCGTCTGCATTTTTTCTTCGTCTGCATCCATACACAGAATTATAAAAAGTCAGGTTCTGCTTGATATAACTTTTGATGTCGCATACCAATACTAATCTGATACCGGCTTTTTTTTTTATTCTTAAGAAAATACGCTTTTTAGTAATATATAAATAAATAAAATGTTGCTTAACCTCAGCATCTAGAAAACACAATTCTCACACTGAAACAAATATTATATTCTATAGGATAAATACAAATGGCAACAACATAACTCAGTTATCCAATACTTCTTTTAAATTAAACTTTTAGCAGCATTTTGAGTGGTCAGCACCATTGAAACATTCAGCACGAAATTCAAAATACAACTAAATATGGAATTATAATTCCAATTTAAAATACTCAACATATCTGATCCATATTTTAAATTCAAAGAGATAATTTCAAAACTTCCAACTAAAGTATGCACTATATCTTTTACATATTTACTTTTTAAATAGTGTTGTTGAAATATTATCCTCTTAGTCAAAACTATAATATTGACTTTAAATCTAATATTGACTTTCCTTTTAGCCCTGTTTTGGCTTTCACCAACCCAAGGAAGCTGGCTCTTTAGCTGCTCAACACTCCACTACATTCACCTGCTAGCTGCTAACAGTTAGCCTGCTGTTAGCTGCTAACAGTTAGCCTGCTGTTAGCTGCTAACAGTTAGCCTGCTGTTAGCTGCTAACAGTTAGCCTGCTGTTAGCTGCTAACAGTTAGCCTGCTGTTAGCTGCCGGGTAGGAAGCATACAGCAGGTTTACTGAAGTTTTAATGAGTGTGGAATTTGGGGGTTTGAATACCAAAACAAAGTGCTAAAAGAGGCAAAATATGATTAGGGGAGGTTTAATTAATCAGGTTCTTATTGGAAACTGCATTTTTACAATACCGAAAGTTAACGTCCAATTAAAGTAGCTGATATTTTAAAGAGTATGCCTATGTTAATAATTCTATCAGACTATGTCAGTGACACGGGCCTCTTATTGTTTGTGTAAGTGTAGTTAGCTTATACCTTACTCTGTATTGTGACATATTAACATTCCTCACCCGTAAATAAGTAAATAATACTTGCATTTAGCAGGTCAGTTATTAGGTGATCTAGAATATTTCCTGTAAGTCAACACATGACATGTACCGTATGTTTTTAAGTTGAAGTGCCTTAATGATTTGGTGCATGATAAGGACTTCCACAATGGCTGTACATCTTTCACTTTATCAGAGCCAATGCAGTAACAGCAGACCGCTTCCTTTCATCACCTGGTGCTTTTTTAGGCTAAGCTACTAGTTGAGAGTTAAAAACTCGACCCAAATACCTCACGTTACCCCGCTCAGCTATAAGCTAACTCCCCCCCCCCCTCAAGGTTCCTCCACAGCTGCTCCAATGTGAACGTTTAGACTGTAGAGCTGATTTTCAGAGGAGACTAACTGTGACCCGGCTGAAGAAAAAGGGAAAGTCCTTCTTGAACTCGAGCCAATAAATAGAACGTTTGAAAACAGGGAAAACCCACTCCAGAAAACAAAAGTATAATTCATAAGCTTCAACATATAGATATAGAAAATGTCCTCTCATCCTGGTAGACTTCTCTTTATCTGATGAGTTCAGATTAAGAGATTCAAATTGTTTGGTGGAATGTGTGTTTATTGTACGGCAGCTCAGCTGTCTTTTGCTTTAAGCGTTTGTGAAACATCATAAATCAGTGGCAGAGCTTTCTGTCCTGTTTTCATTTGTCATGCCAAATTAGAAATAGTTTGTATTGTCTTTGAAATCTGCCAAGCAGAAGCCTTCTGACGTGGATCCGTGGGTTCCTTGTAGACAACGTGCTGTTATGAGATTATTTCAGGATTTGAAATCATGTCAGGTGCTGCCTTCGTGGTCCTCTCATTAAGTTGTGCTTTGCCGTTCTGAAACAGCAAACTGATGTGAAATGAAATAGAGGTTAAAAGTGTCATTTTAGAGCCAAAAATATGAAAGGAAGAAGAAATGAAAAACAGCAGAGAATTGAAATAAGACCAAAAAAACAACAAAATAAGTAATCCCTTTTTGTTTATCATTTCCACGTGTCATTCCTAATATCTGGTCTTTGTGTCTGGACTTCATTTCATTTGGCTTTCAGTTTTTGACCCTAAATTGGCTCTGTACTTTAATTTTTGAAAGTGACTCAATTGTAGTTGATTATATAAAGAATAAAAAAACCTATCATGAAATAGAAACCTTTGTTCCTTCCTTAAACGGTTTAGAAAGCATATGCTCTTCCAGTTAGATTCAGGCTGCTGATGCACTTTGTTTCTTACAGTACTGTTGTATGTTTTTAGAGCCTTCAGTTGCCTTGCTGTACCGTTTTCTTTTGAAAGGACAAGCTGACTGATATTTCAGATCCGACCCCCGGGATTGACTTGGTGGAAATCATTCAACATATAATGTAGATGTTCCAGTCTTAATGTTCTTTAATCAGCTAATGACTGTCAATATAACTTGATTACAATGTAAAAGAAGAAAACCTAAAGAGGGGTTTCCATTTCATTTTGCAATAAACAATTCAATAAGTGTACAGAATGAAACTGTCAGACCTCAGCAGGACGTTTGTTGTGTCACTTTGATTTGTATCCCCGGGTTCTTTTCTATTTCAAGATTTAGTGCCTTTTTTGGACGGTAGACTGTTCTGTAATTGCGATGTAGAAAATCTACATATGCCTTTTGTTACTTTTTCATCTGTTGGATATACCTTATTTGTTATTTTTAAGGTGTGTTTTTATTGATATTCTATTTACAAGGGAATAAAAAGTGATCTGAGTCAAAGCAGTGTGTCTGTTTTTCTTGTCTGTCTGATGGTGTGTAGCAGTTAAAGTCTATCTATTTTAGATCCGGTTGAAGTTCATTTTTGTTTTTCTTCTCAAACATTTTATATATTCACAGTTAAAAATTATAGTTTGAAAAACAAATGGCAGAACTTGGAATCAAAAAAGTCTTAGTATACCGTAAAATGTAATTAATTCCTATAGTAAGGTAATTCAAGAACAGTATGCTATAATATTTGTCGTTAAAATACCGATTATAGCATGAAAAAAATTATCACGTCATACAAATTCGTAATTATTATTATTTTTTAAATTAAATTATTGTTAATTATAAATAACATAGTACTGTATGCACAATAACAAATTATTTTAAGAAATATGTAAATATGTATAGGCCTAGTTTAATATGAAAATAAATCAAAAAAGTGCTATGAACACTTGGTAGAAATAAAGAACAAATACTCTTTAAATCTTGCTTTTTTATTTTTTCTTACCAGATTACTGTTCAGATGATAAAAAAAAAAAATTATAAATGTATTATAATACATTTTTATTCTTTGGATTGCAGCATAGAATTACATAAAACAATTAAATTAATCAAAACCCAAACTTGTGCTGAGATTTTTCTTTTTATATAAGTCTTAATATGCGCATATATACATATACACAGAACAACCACTCTGATGGTGCACACACAAACACATGAAGGCAAACCCGTGCCACAGGATCAACAGACAAGTGAGAATCATTATTACCGTCATATAATAATACTGTTTTTGACATAAATCTCATTTTTATTATTCTAACTTTCCGTTAGCTGAATGTGTGAAAGGTCAAAGGGCTTCCATTATTACACAGCTCCCTTCAATATGGCCGCTGGTATCGAGCACATTTTAATGCAACACTGCATTGATACCAACTGCCTTTAAAATGCACCAAGAGAAGTTCTGAATCTCTTTCCTTTAAAACTGCAGAAAAACCAAACTCGCAACGAGGCCGCATTGCATCGCCTATTGCTCGGTTTATTCTAATATTTTAGAATATGCACAAATTGAACTTGATGCAGCTAAAAAGGCCTCAGGGAAGAAGATGTTGGCAGAATTTGTTGAAGAGGAGGTAGTAAAAAAAAGGTGACCACTCACTACCGAGGCAGGAAAATGTATTGTAGTGCCCGGAAAATACAAAACACCACCTCAGATCATGTGGCGTAAACTCCCTGGTAGAAAGAAGCTGTAGGGCAGTGGTGGTGGTGGTGGTCATTTTTTATAATTTAATGGTGGTTTATAAAATTCCCTGTGTGGAAGTCTGGGTCTTTTCTCACCAAGGAGGCATCACAATGACCTGTGAGGCAGTCAGTAATACAGGAGTGAAAATCTTGTTCCAAAATCACTTACAGCATCCCAATTTTTCTCTAAAAAGAAAGGACTTTTTTTTTTAATGATCCTGTTAAATAATATCACGGTACACATTTGAGTTTTATAGTACAGCAGTGATGTGTTTAGTTAGGGATTATGGGATTGTTCCTGCTAAAAACAGCAGCCTGGCTCCAGGTTGAAGGCCACATTGAGGCAGGGCTATCCCACAAATGCAACACAGATATGGGACCATTTTGAGACAAATAAAAGCACTTAAGACAAGAAGAAAAACAAAAAAAAGCCGTCTGAAGATTGATACAGATCAGTTTGAATATGTTGGACACACAAATTGAAACAGTTATCATGGTTCTTCTGGTTGATACAGTCACAGGAATAACACTGCTGGCTTTGCTCTGATCTCCACAGCGAGATGGAGAACACGGAGATAAACAACATTAAATCCATTCTGAGAAAAACAGTTATTACTATTTATTATAATGCTACTTTTCTCTTTTTACAGTTCCTTATTGAAATGGCAGGCAGCCCATCAGCTACATGTATCTATGTTAGCCTCATCTGATAAAGTCATGTATTAAGGATGCATGATTTGTGTCATGTAAAACAATAGATCCCAATTTCATTTAGGGCTGTACCAAATGTTTTTTTTTAACATTATATATAATATAAAATATAAAAATAAATAAATAAATCTTGCCAAAAGGTTTTTTCCAATTTTTATTTAGTGAGTTGTCGGATAAAATGTGTATTTTTATTTATTTAAACAACTTCCTTTAATGAATAGTACTTGTCACTGTGTGCCTCCCTTTGTGAATGGAAAGCAAGAGAGCACATCTTTCATCCATCATGGTGAAAATGAGATATTTTGGAAAAATAAACAAGAAATATGAGTTTATATAACACTAATAATATTTGTTTATCCCAATCTTTATCTACAGAAACACTAGCTTTGAACCAAATGTATAGACGTGCAAAATAAATGTTGATTTATAATTCAATGTCTGTCGTTAAGAATGACATTTTTAGACATTTGGTACAGCCCTAAACCAATCATTTTACTTGAAAGTTAGTTGAGCAGTGATTGACAGATGGAGAATATGAAATGAATAACAAATTAAACATTTTCAGTATAATTTAAAGAAGAAAAAAAAGGTAACGTGAGAATCATTAAATAAAATCAGGTTGTATTTTTTCCTATGTTTAGAAGCATTCCAGAAATGAACTCTTTCGATTCCCGTTCTGGAGACTTTGTGCAAAATGAACGATATGAAATAAGTCATGGACACGTGGTTTCTGAGGCACGATAACACACAGGGACACCCAGAGGGACGCCCAGAGGGACACCCAGAGGGACACCCAGAGGGACACCCAGAGGGACACCCAGAGGGACACCCAGAGGGACTCCCAGAGGGATGCCCAGAGGGATGCCCAGAAGCCTGAAGTGATCTCAAACCCCTAAAACAGAGCCAGGCCAGGACGGGAAAGACGGCAGGAACTTTAACGTTATCTTTAGTAAGTAAAGTGGCAGCTGCTGGTCATTTCCCATCTTGGCAAGAACTCGCAAACACAACCGAGTCAAAGCCGGGTCCAACATTCACACACAAGCACACACACAGAGTACACAACAACACTTTACTCCCTGCTTCCTTCATTACCACATAACTGTTTTGAACCACAATATTTAAAAACAAACAGGATTCCAACCTTTACAACCTGCCAACCAATCACATACGAGACAGCCACCCATAGTAACCGACCGACCAATCAGAAGGTCCCATGCTATAAGGCCAGATAATAAATACATTATAACTAGACTGATGTATTTTGTCTCATACTTCCATATTATATTTCTGTCTTTCTCACCCAGAAAATATTCCATCTTTTACCCCCACATCTTCTTCAAGGCTTCCATGACAAAGTGCCTCGTTTTTAGGAACTTTACTACTTCATATTAAAACATATATATTGGCCATTGAACCACTTTAGTTTTCCAGGTCTGCAATTATTATTTTTTTAAACAAACGACTGATTTCCAATCTACAGTAAGAGATACAGAGTGTCCATAAATCAGCGGATTCATTTACAGGAAGATATACAATGCTAATAGCAGCAATTATTCATGGAATCATTTGTGCAATATTAAAAAAGAAAAGAAAAAGGCTTTATCTATTTCATGCGATAAATGCATCTGTAAAAGAAATATAAATAGTAAATTCAGGCCTCTCGAGATTAGAAGACGCATGATAAAAAGGAATGGAAAAACATAATGTATCCATAAAGATGATAATGTCCGGACACACCATTTACGTGGTTTTCCAGATAAAGTATTCAGATGTATCATTGCATCAGAAATCTAAATAGACTCCTATAGTATACATAGATTAACTTAATGTCACTATAGTAACAGGATATAATAGCATATTCATGTTTGTCATCATCAGGATATGAACTTATTAGTGATAGTGATATATTGTTTTTCCATCAACCTACATGCCTATTTCTCACTTGGTGAGAAAGCATCGATCCAACTGAGGACGACTCAAACTAAACACTTTACACAGACCTTACTGCACTTTGTGAAAGGGGTTCTCCTCTATGACATCATCAGGGACCGGAACTTCCTTTTTCTCTCTGCTCGGCTTTAGGGACATGTCATTGTTACCGTATATTGCCAGCACTACAGTGTTAATGTCTATATCTGTAGAAAATGTCAGACATGAAAATAATAATTTTTGACCATAGCACTTCCTGTGTTGGTTTCAAAATAAAAGCCCTCGTGAACAAAATCCTTTCATACTGTAATACTTTTATTCTGACCTGTTAGCAGGACAGTGTTGCACACCATAATGTCATAATAATAATAATCAGCTTTTAATGTATTAGATTTGTAAAATGAGTGCTTTTTATCCATTTCCTGTCTTGGATTAATAAAAACGCCATTGGTCATTTGAATATATATGAATGTTAATTATGACAGACTGTTGCCCGGGCGTTAAGGACTACAGAAGACTGTTCGCACGCCGAGTAGTACTCCCTATGATGAGTAAACTAAACTGAATGTGTCCCATTAGTGACTGGTGGAGAAGCATTGGTAGAACATGAGTATTCTGTCTGCATTCTTCATGAATCGATGGTATTCATAAAGCCTGATCCAGTGCTGTACTGCTAATGCTCCTCCACAATGAATACACAAAGGATAAGGTCTGTGTAAAATGTAAAACGTCCCTCTGGAATGTGAAAACTAATTTGTCTGCCACATCACCTTGCATTTTCCACGGCAGATGTGCCAGGAATGTTAAATCAGTCAGAACTGCTTTAACCTGTGAAGCTCCCAGTTGTGTCAGAATCCCTAAAAGATAAAAACTAGAATCTTTCAAACTGATCAAATGCATAGAAGCAAATCAATTCTCTTCACAAGCGGTAAATACCCAGCTGAGCTTCTGCGTGTCCTTCTCACTTTCTTTTCCTCGACACATGCACATGCCTATTCCCCCCCCCCCCCCCAACAACACCAGAGTGCTACAACGCCCCTTAGCGTCTAAATGTCAGACACTGAGGACAACCAGCACATTTTCCTTCAAGAACAGACGTCCACTATGCCCCTCATGGAGATATACTCTAATTTCATGTTGCTAGAGGAATCTGTCTACACTCTTCTACCTCTCTCTAACAGCACCACACACGTTCTGCTGACATACCGATGCTTCTTCTCCGACGTCTCCAGTGCAAAAACGACTTTTAAAGCCTCTCACTACAAACAACTTGCTCCCATAGTGGCTTTGTCCAACAAGGACACACCTTTTCCTGCTTTACACGTAGAATGTTCAACTATGACTACAACAATTATTTGTGCACACAGGGCAACACTGTACAACATTTACAACCACACACACACACACACACACACACCCTCCATGTCCTTTCCCCTCTGCAGTCCCTGAGATCACCTCACACTTAGCAAAAGGCATTCTCTTTAAAACACAAAGAATTCAAATTAAATACACAGAAATAAAAGCAATGCAAACCAAGCCATGGTGAAGGCACATTCTGGGAGGATCTATCTTCAAAAGAAAAGGGAGTCCAGGAGGAGGAGGAGGAGACGAGGCTCAAACAATGAGTCTGTAGAGAGTTCAGCGGAGTGGCAGCTGGAGCAGGGGATTCTGGGACATGGAGTCTCAGGATGACTAGGGGGAGACATCTTATCTAGGGATGCAAACACTTTGTCACACAGTCCGACTGCCTTAGTGTGAGCTGTATGTCACTTTGACGTATTTGAATTTAAAACATAATTTAAAATCAGATTTGGTCTATTTTGGTTTACTAATCCCAAAACACATTATTTTGAGTGTGTAGGGAGGATAAAAAATGCCAAAAATGGCCATTAAATATTCTCTGTTTTAGAATTTGGTTGTTAGGCTGAATAGTATTTTCTAGTAGCTATGACCACGAGAAATAATTTATTATGGAACCAACTGGAAAAGATGACTGCTTTTTAATCTAAAATTGTCTTTTTTTGCACTCAAAAAGTTAAAAAAATATTCTCAGATGTCTTTTTTTTTATCAAAAAAGGTGATTCCTTCCTAAAATGTGACCCATTTGCATCCCTGTATATTAGCTCAGAGAAATTCTGCAGCACATCCTCCAGGCTGCAGCGCCACATTTCCCCCCCCCGCAGAGCTCCGACACTCCAAATTAGGACAAAGTCTGCTCTGACCTCCATTCACTCTCAGCAGTCTTCCCATTGACCGCTGTTCATTGAGAATTATCTCCCCATAAGGTAAATAGTCCTTCCACGGACTTCTATATTCTCTGCATAGTCTTTCGTCCACTTACTGCATTGTCTTTATTCTAGTTCCACCCATTACCTGTGAATGGATGTAGTTTCAATCTAAAGGAGGGTAGGCAGTATGTTACTGTGAGCCTGTTGCATAGCTGGGAGAAGAGGAGGAAGAGGAGGGCTGTGGGGGGTTCATCCCACCCTCCCTGTCTCAACTGCTCCAGGACTTGCGGTTCTCCCCCCGCCGCGCAACAATGGCTTCTCCTCGTAAGACGGGGACGTGGGGGGGGGCGGGGAAGTCTCCCGTACGCCGGCTGGTCCGGTCGCGGCAGGACAGGCGGTCCGGGCGGACCAGCACCCCGTACCCCGGTTTACACAGGAAGTACCGATGACCTCCCACTGAACCGTCATTTTTACCTGTAGGGAAGAAACAAAGGTCAGCACTGGAAATCATTTAGCATTAAGCTGTAGTCAGCTCCACCAACCAAAGGCAGGGCTTTGGCAGAGGAGCCAATCAAGTCTCAGCTAGCCTCAACATTAACAAAGAAGTTTTGACTATTACAAAACCATAGTGTAGAATTGTATACAGTCTTTTTATTTTGTCCTTATTATGAAGTTTTTTTAATGACGTCATCACCCTAGAAATATATATTTGTTTCTTATTGAGGTTGTATAAATGTAATTTATGGTGCCGTTTGAATGTCCCGTTAGTACAACTGTAATTATCTTTGTGTTGGACAAACTGTTTTTGGAAGGCTAGATGGATTAGAGAAGAATATTTTATAATTGAACAAAACACATTGTGAATTTTGACAATACATTTTTCAATAAATAAACACAGAGAAAGCTGCAAAGCATTAAAAAGTTGATTAAGTCAACGTTATTAATTAAGCTTTAATACTCGAGTCATTTTTCATGTATTTGTGTCATTTGGGTAAATGTACCCTTTAATAGTGTACCTACCTACAGGGGTGTCCAGCTCCACCCCCACCCACACTCCATCAGCAAACTGCGTCACTCCCACGTAGCGTACTGTCCCGGCCTTATTGCTTCCTACTGTAACAAACGCTCCCTCTGACAGCCAATCAGGCAGTACGTCATTATTGCTACGCTCTTCATCGTCCACAAAGATCTCCAGCCTCTCAAAGCCTTCCCCCCCTCCTCCTCCTCCTGAGTTGACCAGCTTGTGTTCGGAGACAGAGTTTTCTGAGGAGACGTTGTTGTGATTGGCTGAGCTGTGGGAAGTGGGTGGAGCGACGACAGCCATCTTGGCGCCACACTGAGAAGGAGAGGTTACAACATCGTTCCTGTCAGCACCCTGCGTCTGGGGGTTTGTGGGTAACGTAGTGTCAGCAGCCAGGAGGGAGGAGGACGAGGAGGAGGGCTGGAGGACGTCAGACAGGGTAACCGTAGAAACACTACTGGAGAAGTAGCCGCTCGACGACTGGCTGAGGGGGCTGAGGGGGGTGATGTCATGCGGGTCATGCAGAGGAAGAGGAGGGACTTCTGGGAACTCTGCCCGTCGGTCTTTGGTTGCGGGTCGCAGAATAGCAGGCTACAGGAAACCAACGGTTGCCACAGGAACAGGGGGACAGACGAGAGCATGCAAGGCAAAACAACAAAACAATAATCAGTAAAATAATCAACGACTGGAAAATGGTTACAGTCTTCCTTTGGACCAATCAGGTGCTAGAAGGATGAGGGTCTGTCATGTGCAGCATTAGTCAAATGGATCGTCTGCTAATGTTTTTTACATACAAAATGTGGAAGGTTGAGGGGAGCTGAAGAAAATGTCCTAGTGATGTCATAATGATGCTACTTGGGTTATCTCCGTTGATGTTTTTTTTTTTAAATAAGATCAGATTAAAATGGACTGAGTTAAAAACTCAGGCGGTTGACTCATCAAGGTCACTTGACAAAATCAATATAAACTGTCTGACCCAATGAATACTAGTAGAAACTGGGAGAGCAGAAGAAGACGAGGGTTTTTACTAGGAAATGGCCTATCAAAAAGAAATAATTGGATTCATTCTGTAAGGGTAACATCTATTGTTTCTGAAGCTTAGCAAACACTGGACAACATTTCACAATGATCTGAGCCTCGGCTGCCTGACCATCTCCCGTCAGTCCCCTAACAATTATGTTGAGAACAAATAAATAACAGTAGGCACTTTCATTTCCAGAGTGAGCTCAGATTTCAAACGGGGTCTACATTGTGCAGCTGGAATATGTTGTACGATTGAAGAAAACTGCAGCGGATATCCACGGACAAAGATCAGATAACAAATGCACTTCAAATTTTAAATAAACAACAAACAACAGAGGGGAAAGCAGACCGGGGCATTATCTCACCGTCTCAGCCTTGAGTCGATTTTCGTCCCCTCCTGATGTCACGATGCGAGGGACATGCTGCTGAGTAACAACACACCAGGTCATGACAGGAACACTTGTATGCAACCTGTATTTCATATTTATTTCTCCAGCAAGGCTACATGAATGGCACCCTGGTTCCACCTCGCACACAGCTACATAAGTCCTGGGGGAGCTCTACTTCAGCGTCTCTGCTCACCTGCTGGCTGTGTGGCGAGGGTCTCAGATCCTTCTTTTCGTCCCGCGCTGGAAACAGAGACTTGAGCAGTTTGGGCATCTGAGGAACCAGCGCCTTAACTGAAAGATAAGAGGCAGCAAGTCCTGAACGACCTGGGGGAGGGGGGTGAGGAGGTGAGAGAGGAGGAGAGGATAGGAGAGGAAGGAAGCGAGGAGCAGGTGTGGGAGGTAGAGGAGGTGTGAAAGATTAAGACAGAAAGTTGAAAGCGAGTCCAGGAAATGGCAAAAACCCCAACAGTGACAGACTGACAGGAGAAGACATCAGCCGGCCGTAAAACACGCAGACGGTTGATTGAGTCATCAAAACAAGATTACAAACATCCTAATCACTGGACTATGGAACAGAAATGACTAAAAGAAAATATGAATTCTGTTCATTTTCAGAACGGAATTAACCTAAAGCACAGCAGAGAAACGTGATTTCTGACACTGACATGAAATCACTATGGCACAGAGAAATGTTCACATTGATTATGCTGAAATGCTTTGTTAATGAATTTGAGAGAGAAGAATGCGTTAGACAAAGAATGTTACAGAAATGGATGTAAGCAACACTAAAAGGAGCAGGTAGGAACTAGAGACATTACGCATCACTGTCGCTGGTAAACAAAGGGAACAGAGCGGAGACGTAGTTTGTTAGGTAACCAACGACACATTAGGTTGTGTAGGGAATTTAGCTTTTTGTCTGTTTAAATGCAAATATTGAAAACCAGTAAATAATGTATTCTATCACATCAGGCTTTCAATCTAGAGCCCTGGATTCCAAATTGTACCAATTACTTTTTTCAAAAGGAAATGTGGCTCAATGTGGTTCCAAGCTTCCTGTTTTACTGCACAGAAATACATCAAAATCTCTGGTTGCTAATTATTAACATATCCTAGACGTAGAAAAAAACGTAGTATTTGTTATACAGAAAATAATTTATTGTGAACACCAGTGGCATTTTTTAAATAAACTGGTATTAAAATAGTTAAAATTCTGAAAATGAATAAACATTAAAGTTGGTTAAAAGACTAGGGAACGTGGAGGATAATCAAAATATATTTATATATAATAATAATAATATTTGATGGCAGATTTTTACATATTCGTCTTCGACATCAGAGCTAAGTCATTTAGATATGAGTATATAGTAGAAATGATGAACCCAGAAAGAAGAATGAAAGGACGATGAAATATAGCAATATGGAGGAAAAGTGATGAGGAATGTATGGTAGAGAAAAGAAGAAAGGAGCAGTGATGGGGGTAAAGAGAGGGGGTTTACCTTGCTCCGGCTCCTGGTTCTGTGGGGGTGACATACCGAAGGGAGACTGGGACGAAGAAGGAGAGGTGGAGTAGGTGGAGGGGGAGGAGGCGGGCCGTGGGAGGGTGCGGTGAAACTGAGAAGGCATGAAGATATCCTGCTGACTCTCCCATCGACCCTGAGGAACAGATGATGGGACATTGGTTTGAAAAACACAAAAACATGTCAATGGTAAATAGGAACAGATATATTAGGTGGTAGGTGTTTGGTATTTAGTCACTTAAGACTGACAATTACCACTGGATCCTCAATTAATCATAACATATTTGAACGCATTACTTTAAGAACAGTCAACAAGAACCAGAACAGGTATGTTACCTTATCTTCCAGGCAAGATGTGGACAGGTCTTGTCTACTTCCAGACAGCTGAGGACGGATGGACAGAGAGATGATTCATATTATATTGTTCTATATTGGATTATCATTGAGTGCAGTCTAATGTCATTGTGTGTGTGTTTTACCCTGTGGACAGAAGGAGAACTGATGCTCCGTCTGTTGCCTTTTCCTCTGCTAGTCAGTTGCTCCTTCACTGCCACCTCCTATAACAGCAACCGAACATTTTCAACATATTAGAAAGCACTCAATCAGGAAAAACAAACACAAATCACAACTTTGATACATTTTATATCCTGCGTCTTATTGAGCTTCTATGTGTGTTAAAACCAACTGCACACCTTCCTGTCATTCAAAAGATCTAAATTCTATCTGTTTTAGACTTTTTATATTTTCCCAGTGTCTCCACCCACCTGTCTGAGTCTGTCCAGAGTCAGGATGTTCTCCAGGCTGAGGACACTGCGGAGGTATTTCTCAATAGCAGCTTCTTCATCCGGTGACTGGTTGGTGTGTGCGCTGGCAGCGAGGTTGGCCAGCATCTCCCTGTCTTCTGAACCAGGGGCGTCCTGATGGGACGAAAAAAAGATTGTGTTTAATCATTCATCCCGTTGCTGAGCAAAGCATGAAATTACAATTTGTTTCCCCTGGCCTTACCCCGGGGATGTTGGAGACCACCTCGAAGGTGACCCCGCAGCCAGGTATGGTGCTGCGCGTGGACATCCTTCTCAGGAAGTTGTGTGCAAAACCCTGGCGGCCCGGGTTCACGTTGACGCAGATCCTCTTCCTCAGGACCAGCTGCATGTCGGCAGGGTGGCTGAGCTGGACCACCACCCGGATGGTCAGGTAGACCCGCTGCTCCGGCCACGCCCCCCCCACGACTGAGCTGCGGACACTCGTGGACCGTAGAGTCCCATGATGCCTCTGCTTTCACCTGCAGGGTCGACAAACGTCATTGGTTAAAGGGAAACAAATCTTTATTGTCCTTTTCTTTAGGTACTCTAAAATTATGCAATGCTGTAGTTAAATTTAACCAAACAAATAAATAAACGCTGTAAAGAAGTCACAGCCAGAGTTTCCGTTAGAATTTTTTTTGCCGGTCAACATGTCCGTTAAAGTTTAAATCTTCCGGACAAAATGAGAAACGTGCCGGTCAAAGGTCTTCTTTGTTATTTATTGAGCTTTAAAACAAATTCACTATATTAAACAAACTAATTATATAAATAATAATAATAATAATAATAATAATCTTTCCCTCTCTCTCTCTCCCTCTCTCTCTCTCTCCTGACAGCCCGTCAGTATCTCATGCAGCTCGCTGATCCAGTAATGAGTGACCCGACAGTAAAGAATAAACATATTTATAACTAGTTTAGCTTGTTCCAGAGGTAGATAAACGAGCAAAGTGTGTTAGGTCTAACTTGGTGTGTGTTTTGCTCCGCTCACCGGTCCGTCACAGCGGGCGGAGCTGTGATCATGCAGAGCTGCGCGTCTCCGTCAGCAGCAGCTGATCTGCTCTCTGATCTCTCTCTCTCTCGCGTCCTGTTATACTTCACTCGTGTTTATGTCCATATCGATCAGATCTAGCTAGTTCTAGCTAATGATATGACTGCCTGCGTATCAAAGGACACCTATAAGCGTTGCTTGGCAACGGGGGTGTGGCGGCAAAAGTATAGCGCAGCATTATGCAGCATTAAGCATTTGTTTACATGAGGGGTCAAAATGTCCCCTTCAGGAGGATAAATCTCTTTCTCCACATTAAATGTCAGACATTAGAAAGGAAGTGACTGTGCATGTAGCGTATTGACTCTTCTTGTCTGTCACATAAGTGGCGCAACTGATGCGGTATTGCGCTAAGGGGAAATGATTTTGAACGGAGAGATTTAGATTTGCCGGTCTTCAGCATATTTTACCGGTCATAGTCCGGTAATTACCGGCTAACGGAAACTCTGGTCACAGCAACTAAAAAAGAAGGCGCGAGTTATATGAAATTGACAGAGATATTGATATAAATATTAATAAATATACACAATTTCAAAAATGGACTTCCTCATGCGGGTCATTCCTCACCTCTCCGTCGTAGTGTTTGACAATCTGTAGGTCAAAGAAGTCGTCCTCATCTTCTCCATTCAGAGTGGCGTCCCAGCCTCCAGCCTCAGTAACCTCAAACTGGTCCTGAGAGCTGAGGTCATCAGCTGGGAAATCAATAACAAACTTTATAAATCAGCCAGCAAGTTGAAGAACACATTAAACGGGCTATGAATTAAGCGGTGACATACCATGTGTTATTTAGAGATGACCTAGCATATTTTATTTAGCAGTCACGTAGCATATGATGCGAAGAGGTGACTTAGCATATTTGATATGTGACTAAGCAATTTAGCGTTGACTTGGCATATGTATTTAGAGATGACTTAGCATACGTTATTAAGCAGCATTAGCATATATTATTTAGCAGTGATTTAGCGTAGGCTATTTAGAGGTGACTTACGTTTCAGGTTCAGGAAGAGGACAGGAATATGAGTCTCCATTCCCGGCAGAGGAACCCTATAAGAAAAAACATGGTAGACACTATATTAAACAAATATACTAGCCTTATTGAAATGATGTTGAGGCAATCACAAGGTAATATTATATTAAATATATGAAATGATAGAAGCGCACACTCAACGTGCCATGTGTCATACCATTCAGCAGGAGCTCCAGGAATGCCGCTGCCAGGGAAGGGCACCATGACAGCGTTTCTCTCCTCGGTCAGAGTCAAGCGCCACTCCAGCAGCTGGGCCTCCCTCTCCATGTCATCTTCTGTCTTTTCTGAACACACAACATGCCTCAAACATTTAACCCTTGCTACAGAAGATGCCTACAAGCTAGAGACCATAACTTTCCTGAGAGAGGGGAGTGTTACGGATTGTTAAATGTGAATGTTGTGACTTTATTTTGATGGAACAGTTTTTTAAGGGTTGTTTATAAGTTAGTAATCCATATTAAACGTTTTCTGTGGGAAATGTTTAGTGTAAAGAAGACTTTACATTTGACTTTGCAAAAGATGTTGCATTAATAAAAGGGCTTCACAACCCGTAAGGGGAAGAAAAAAAGCTACATTTTGAGACTCAAAATAGAAGTTGCTAGTTTCACAAGCTTAAAGTGGACCTATCATGCTATATTTGAATAATATATTGTAGGGCCATACCTATATAAAACATGTCTGTGAAGTTTTCTTTTCAAAATACCAAACAGATCATGCATTTTAGCCATGCCTCATTTCACTCTATTTGCTCTTTTCCAGCCCTGTTTTTGCAGGGGGCTGATTCTGTGAGAAGTCTTCTTCGCTGCTTTTGTGGCAGACTACAGCGCTACTTACAGGCCTGGCATATGTACTACAGCGTCTCCAGCGCTTTCGAACGGCAATGGCCGGCCGTGGCCCAACCCCCCATTCCCCTGATAGGTGGAGAGTTGCCCATATAGGCGGAGCTCCCTGTTTCTGACGTCAGAACAATTTCAGATCCGTTGCAGCCCCGTTTTTAGAGATTTGGGTATGGAGGAAAAGAGAGAGGGTTGTGTTTTCTGACACTTGGTGAGTTCCCTGACACACCGGAGACACATATTCATGTATAAAAGACGTACAAAAGTGCATTTTTGCATGATAGGTCCCCTTTAAGTGTATATTTTTACATTTGCTAGAAACATTTCAGATTATTAGTCCAAAACCTCATCTTGTCATTTTGAAAGTATTAAACTAAGCAACAACTATGGTTACCCACTCTTTATTTAACATCAAATGTTACAGTGATGGAGGGTTATATGCTCTCCTGCCTTTTTTAACAGAGCAGAACCATGAACAACAGTGTTAGCATGTATTATGTATGTTTTTATACTCATGTCAGAGTTCCCGTTAGCCGGTAATTACCGGACTATGACCGGTAAAATATGCTGAAGACCGGCAAATCTAAATCTCTCCGGTCAAAATAATTTCCCTTTAGCACAATACCGCATCAGTTGCGCCACTTATGTGACAGACAAGAATAGTCAATTCTAATGTCTAACATTTAATGTGGAGAAAGAGTGTCCTGTATGGGTTGATTGTGCGTTGATCTGTTGGTAATGCCTCGGGGTTCCGGTGGGCATGTAAACAAATGCATAATGCTGCGCTATACTTTGCGGCCTCACCCGGTTGCATAGCGACGCTTATTGTTTAGGTGTCTTTTAATAAGCAGGTAGTCATATCATTAGCTAGAACCAGCTAGATCTGATCGATATGGACATAAACGCGAGTGAAGTCTAATCTGACCGGAGCAAGAGATCAGCTGCTGCTGACAAGTCGACACCCAGCTCTGCATGATCATCTGCAGCGGTGAGCGGAACAAAACACACACTTCAGGTTAGAATATCACGTAGCTATTTTAATTACCTCTCAAACTACCTAAACTAGTTATAGATATGTTTAGTTTTACTGTCGGGTCACTCATTACTGGATCCGCGAGCTGCATGATACTGACGGGCTGTCAGGAGAGGGAGAGAGAGCGCTCCGTTTATTATTCCCGTGTTATAAGTTACTGTACACGTTTGAATAATGTAGTTAATCTACTAGAATTAGTTTGTTTAATATCGAATCATATCAATTTGTTTAAAAGCTCAATAAATAAGAAGACCTTTGACCGGCACTTTTCTCATTTTGTCCGGAAGATTTAAACTTTAACGGACATGTTGACCGGCAAAAAAATATTCTAACGGGAACTCTGACTCATGTGTGGGGTGTACTCATACCTGCTTGGCTGACTAAGCTCTGCAGGTGCTGGTCGAGGTATTCCTGCCTCTTGGTGAGAGCGGACAACCACTGCCGTCGCAAGCGTTCCAGGTCTGTCTCCTAAACAACAAACCAGTCAGTTAATTATCTTCCGCCTCAGTTCACCTATTGTCAAAGACTGTAAACAGAGCTGTGTTAAACTGATCTACCTGATAACTGTCCATCTCATCCACTTCCTGGTTAGCTGTGGTGTTTCTAATCTCCACACATCCAACTGACACTGCAAGCAGGATTTCTGATATCAGCGGCATGGTGCCCGAGTCCTGAACTGAACGCACGTCCACCTGGATTCGCCTCGACTGACCCTGGAGGACACACAAGTTTAGAACATATTTAGATGTTGGCTTCTGTTGGTTGGTTATATTTGCTAGTTCCACATGCTGTGAGCAGGTTGGCTGTGGTTGTGTGTGTCGGGGCTTTTCCCTACCTGACGAAGCTGGAAGATTCCCCCGGTCTGAACATCTCTAGCAGGAACAACCTCCACTGGGACAAATTCTCCATTCTCGTTTATCTCCAGGATTTGAATCCACAGCTCGAGGCGACGCGTTACCTCGCTCCACCTACAAAAATGATTATTGTCAGCACAGCAAGACAACAATTTTTGTTTTTTTTAAGTAATGGAAAAAAAGAGAAATACAAAGAGGACTGCGTGGGTCTACCTGTCTCGTAGTGTGCGTGTCTTGGCCTGGATGATGCTGAGGTCCCACAGGGCGGGGTTTCTTCCTGCGTCGGCCTGTCTGTGTCCGTATACCTCAATGGCGACCGCTCCTTCAGTCAGGTATTCGATGAAATCTTCCGATACTGACACTGCCACCTCCTACGGAACAAAGAAAGATCAGTATGATACCACTAGCTCAGCCTCACCAATTTGTATATAAACATTTGCTTTCCAACTTTCTATGTGTCAGTTTCAACAATGATTGCCCTACACCTCTTCCCTCCCTGGCTTTACCTTGCAGCTGTCAAACACCACCATGCAGTGCGGGTCTTTTGTGCTGGGCGACGAAGACGAGGGGTCTACTTCAGGAGCCACGATGATGGGCTCAGGCTGGTCCCAGAAGGAATACTGACAGAAGACGAAGTTGGACAGGTACTGGGGAAGACCAGTGGCCTGCAGGATCTTAAGCTGTGGAGGATAAACAGGACAAGTCATTTAAATGCAAACTTCAAAAACATTTTAAGGTTGAAACAACTCCTCTCTAAAACTTTTTAGCAAAAGCTGAACCTTCAAAACCTTCATGATACAGATTGTATTGCAAGACTGATCACTAGGTGTATCTAAACCTAGACCTCTAGAACCCACTCACTATAAAACTCACTATAAAACAAAGGTCCTGGAATGATTTTGAACTGCTAACAGAGGCAGGTAGGAATAACGATAATGTAAAACTCTCTGGTGATCTGTCTTTCTTACCATGCAGACCAGTTTGCGATCTGGGACTTCAGCGTCTTGGTTGTTGTCGGTTTCATCGCCTCCAGCCATGTTGTCCTCTAAACCCCCTCCGACCCTCACCACCTCCACATGAAGACGCCCTGCAACCTGACCACAGGAGAGGAGAGGGGAATATATAATAAAAAAAAACATTTTAACCGAACCATACCTAGAAAATGTATCTGTGGATGTCTCATCCACCACTGGGAGTTATATTGTGAACATCCAGCTTGGACAATTCTTTTAAATATTTTCTTACATGCTTTTATAGCAATCTAGCAAAATGGTCAATATTCTTTGACATTTGACACTGATATGTATGACTGTGCAGGATTTAAAAGACTTCTGATCTCAATAAAACTCTAGATGGATATGGCAGAGAAAAATGTAAAAGTATTACTCGAAGTAGCTGTTGACAGAAACTACATCATATTACACCAAGTCTAGAGACATTTTGTCCCAAGCTCAGATTTTCCATCCATTAATGGTACTACTTCATGACAAAAGGATGGCGTTACAGGATAAGTGATGTAAGAATGAACATGATAACCAACACGTTTCTGGATGCCTACCTCCCCCTTCTGGTTAATGATGGGAACAGCATAATTGAGTTTCACATCGTAGAAGAGACAGGAAAGGAAGACGTTTGCGACGCCAATCAGACTGTGGTTTTCCTGCTCGTCAAAGAACGGGTCTGCCCGACGGAAATATGAGCGCATCACCTGGAATAAAAGAAGAACATTGATTTAAAACACAGGACAACTTTGTTTAGTTTGCATGTTTGTAGCAGCATAGTGCATCGTTGATGATTCCATAGCTGTCCTGGCAGGGTTATTGTAAGACTTTCCAAGAATACGTCTCAAGTCAACTCACAGGGTTGTCCTGGTCATGGAGCTGGTAGTCTTGCCACTCCTGGTACAGCTCTCTCATGTCCACCAGACGGTTCTCCATCTTCTCTAGACTCCAGATCTGCTTCCCTCGACACCGGCGTCGAACTTGAATTGCTGGTTCACTGAGCACAGCGTCCCTCTATACACACACAGAGACACACATGGACATAATTGAGGATTTTCTGTGCATAAGAATTGTATCTTTGCATGAGTGACTAGCTGCTTGTGTGTGTGAGACCTTGCGGTTTGCGTTGAGGTTGTCTGATGGGATCTGCAGAGTGACTCTGTACTCCGTGTGTCGCTCCAGCTCATCAGAGATGAAACAAGCTTCTTGAACCAGGAGGTTGGCTCTCACGATCTGCTCCCTCAACCGCCGCAGACTCCTAACCAACACCGCCTCCCTGAAGGGGGGGAGGGAGAAGGGTGGACAGAGGTGAGGAGGAGGAAATACAAGGAGCAAGTGTTTAGTTTGCATTCATATCTTAATAAACATAAAACTGATTTGAACTATAAAAAGGTAACTCAGTAGAGTGTGGATCTCCACCAGGTGTCTCTGCCTCTCATCTCACAAAGAAAGAGTTGAAACTGACTCAATTGTCTCCCTTACAGTAAACATAGCAGAAACACAAACAGGGATGTATTGCTCTCAATCTGTGCTTAGCTTTAGTGGATCAGAAGCTCGGGTATCAAATTCATTTGCAAATGCTCAGGTTCAAAATGTGTTTGTGATTTCAGTTTTTGAGACACAATAAAGGGCAAAATGTGGCCTACAACAGACAAGGTAAGGCTTAGCCTGGATAATGGCCTTAAATGCCTTTTGCTACTGAGGCAGTTGTTGAGCACTTGTGGCCTGTTAAGAGGATTTAGGAGTCAACAGTCAATGACGGTATAAAAGAAGTGTACAAATGTTTTTCAAGCTTTGAATTACCACAACCACGTGAAATCATCGAGTCATAAGTCAGTATAAAAAAGGCAGATGGGACATTAACATGCAACATAAGAGGCTTACGCCTGGTGGAGATAAAGTCTGTTATTTGGAGTGTAAATATATTTGTGGTCTCACTCTGACCTGTCCTCATTCCACTGCCTCAGTCTGCTCTGAGCGCTGGTTGAGTGACTCATCCCTCCCATGCTCAGTCTCTCCAGGCTGCGGTAGTGGGACTGCTGTCCTGGAGCCTGCTGTCCAGACGGCGGTCCTCCAGAGGAGCCGGACGACAGACGGTCCGGGTTCAGCTTCTTGCGGAGCTGCTGGAGCTCCTGCTCGTACATCTGTCTCTGCCGCTCCAGAGCAGATTGCTTCTCCTCTTCATGCTGCCTCTCCAGAGATTGGAGGACTGCTTGCATTGGATCTGAGGGAACAAAACAAAAGTCAGAAAACATGACAGGGACTTAACTAATGAATACTCTGTCAATGCAGACTAATACTATTTACCGTTATTGCCCAGGGCTTTCATCATGACCTCTGTCTGAGCGAACTCGTAGGAGAAGCTGACCTCACTGGACACTTCGCTGCCTGTGTCACCATCTGTATCCAGCTGCTCACTGCTGCCACTGTTCTTCATCAGGCCCCCCTCGCCCTCCTCATCCTCAGCTCCCCGAGCACGCCGCTTAGGCAGGTTGATCCTGGAGGTAGGATATCCAGTTAATTAACAATGAGCTGGTTCATTTGCTATATCTTAATTGTCACTGATATTAAGTAATATATGCTATAAAGCTGGTACAGAGCACATTCATTGGATGTCAATCAGTCAAAATCTGTATGTGTTTATAGCAGTTGCAAACTTTATAAAATGACATTATATGTTGAAATACTGAAATGAATAGCAATAGAATAATGAAAAAGATAAATAAACACATGCAAATATTTTGAGGGTATACAATTACCTGAAGAAGTGGTTGTTTCCCCAGAAGATTCGGTCGCCATGGTGAAGCTGCAGAGCACTGGTAACTGGAGAACCGTTTACACACGTCCTATAACAAAGTGAAGACAGCATGACATTAAGATTTACTGTTAGAAAACTGGTTTAACTATTTCTTGACATATTAGGAACTCTTAACCACTGTCAGTGCAGTGCATCCCTTACCTAGCGTTGCGGTACGGGCTGAGGATGACCGCAGCATCAGCATTAATGTTGATGACACAGTGCTCTGCCTGGATACCCATGCCGCACAGCTGGATGTCCTGAGAGTCTGCCGAGCCCACCTTCGTGTGTTCCTAAGACAGGACATTCAAGATATCGTAAACCATTTTTAGCATATATGGTGGGACAATTGAATAAATGTTATGTATTCTGGAGTGAAGCGCATCAATTCTTGCTAGAAATGAATTTACAGAATCTCTTATATTGACTTAATCTATTTTGTTCACCAAACGCCGCCTTGATCACGTTTTCTTGGAAACATTTTGTGCTTTTAAATTTGGTAAATGAGTATAATTCTTGGCTTCCCAACACACACATCACTGTTTTCCAAAAGTGCCCACTGTTGTTCAGATAGCTGACTCCTGATCAGCCAGTAAGCTATGACAACTCCAAGTCCAAATAATGGTCATGTGTAAAGCAATGTTTAAACCGGCAGATGGATTACATGATAGTGACATTGAACTCCATCTTTGTGATAATACTCAGTGTAAATATTTGGAATAAGTTACAAGGCATAGTAAAGCATGGTCTGGAGAGTGTATGTATGCATGTGTGTGTACCTTTAGATAGTACACCAGCAGTTCATTGAGGGCAGGATCGGCATTAAGGTTGACAAGATAACTCTTATCATCTCCAACTTTAATCCCTGATGACTGGAGAGAAATACCCAGACTCTCCAGCTGCTTCTGACGCTCCTACAGACACAGAAACAAATATGATATACTATTCACACAGTGTATAATTCAATATCTAAAACTCTTGCTCGGGGTAGTTTTACAAAATGAATAAAAATCAAAGTTAACTGTTTGGTTTCATAATCATAACTTTCCCAGCTCTTGTGTCTTACCTGTGCAATCTCCTCAGTTTTTCTCAGCTTCTGCTCCCAGGTGTAGGTCATCTCTTGAATCAACTTTTCAGACTCTTCCAGACGGTCTTTCAGATCTGGGGCCTTCAAAGACTGGAGAATGAAACAACAGATCAGAGTAAGTATAGGCCAAGGGTAGCCAACACGTTGCCCCTGCGGGCACTTAGTCGCCCGCAGGGGCAACGTGAGTCGCCCGCGGGGCATGTTCTAAAAATAGCTCGCCAAGCAAATCCAAAATGTAAAAAATACACAAAACAAAAAAGGAAATTAAAAGAATCTACCCTATGCATAAACGAAACCTCAATCATAGCGAACTCTATCTACTTACTACAACTCTATATCTATCTAACACCCCTCCTCCCCCCACCCCCACAATGAATATCGACCAATCACGTTCTTGCTTGATTTGCGGGACCAGCGTTGCAGTCGGGAAGAAAAGCAATGTGGAGCGGGACCTCACCGCACACTTCATAAGGAGTGTGACCTTTCCTTCTGGCAGAATCTACACAACACATCAGCCCCATTGAACAGCCTAGTCGTGCCAGCCTATACAGCACATGAGGGGCAGAGCTTTACTGTGTGTGTGTTGCAACTTGCATATATATTTATTGCACTTGACGCACACGTACGCATGGCGTAATTTCCACTTTTCGAAATCCTGTTTGAGTCCCCTCACTTTACAAATATGTTTATTATAATTTTTTAACGCAAGCCGTCAAAAATCTTCCCGGGGTTGTATGCCCCCGGACCCCCCTAGAGGATGTGAGGTCCACCCCCAAATAAAGCAGGTTAAAATAATTAAATTGCATACATTTTCTTTTAGTAAACACTGAAAACGGGTCCCACAGACCCAAACAGCACACAAAGGTTAAAGGTAAGCATATAATAATGTTAAAATGTGCTAAATATATACACTGCAAAAAACGTAAAAGTAGCTCACGACTTGTTTTATTTTTTGAAAGTAGCTCTCATCCGAAAAAAGTTTGGTGACCCCTGGTATAGGCAGATATTTGTTTAAGTTGATTTTGAACGTTTCGAGGATATCCCACCTCTGCCTGAGTCAGTTGCACTCGTAGTTTATCTACTTCCTCCCGGAGTTCCCTGGTGATGCGAGCATTGGGGTCTTCGTTGACAACAGCGTGGTTAACAATGCTCTTTGCTCTGTCTGCATAGCGCAGCGTGGAGAGCGTCTCATCGTAGTTGTCTGCTGCTGGACTCACAGTTGCAACCATGGCTGTGCGACTGTTGCCACCCAGACAGTCCTGGAGAGAGGTGACCATGAAAGGAAAAAAAGGGACAAAAGAAAATTCACTCTATAGTCAAACAAAGGAAATATATTTTTCTTATTTTCTGGTGAACACGTTTATTGTGTCTGTACCTTCAGGAGCCATGTCAGAACAGAGTCTCTGTAAGGAACAAACTTGTTTTTGTTCTTCGTTGTTCCCTGTTCGGCTAGCGCTGAAATCACCAGACCCAGCGTGGTCAGAGACCTGAGAAACAAACAAAAACACACTACGGGTAAATGCGTTGCTTTTTGATTTTCTACCGTGGTTATCAGGTGGCAAGGAAAAAAAAAGATTCTCCTAATGTTCTGTCAAGTGTTTTACTATGATTTAGGTATAAGGAGTATAAGGAAAGTTGCTGTAGAGAGGCACCAAATTCACAAAAGGGTAACCGAAAACCAGGAAGATTTGCACATTAACCATCCAGCTATAAATGCAAATGGAAAAAAATGGCACGTGACAACACTCTGTGGTTAAAAAGAAATGTCTTGCTAAAGAAAGTAACACAGCCAAGTTGAAAACATCTTAAGACAATTTAGAGTTTAGAGTCTTAGCCTGAAAAGGAAAACACCCAATGATGGGTTTGTGTGTAAGTGTGTGTTGAGTGTGTCAGTGTTGCTTTCCCGTACTTGTTGATGTTGCTGCCCTCCTTGAGTCGCTCCCCGGCTGCTCCAGTCTTTGCTGCTCGCTCACTTCCAGCCAAGTCTACCAGACTCAGCCGACTAACCTTCTCCCCACTCGTCTACAGAGAAGAAGAAAAAAAAACACAGTAGGAAAGACTGATTATTGTCTCAATCTTTACACTTTTTAGATAAACTGATAAACCAACCACTTGGGTATTCTTTACGTTTTTAATTTACAATCTAAGTGCTTGGATGGTTTTCAGACGGCCAACCACTGCCTTACACAGGGTTCTTACACCTTTTCCAAAGTCAAATTCAAGCAGTTTTCAAGCATTTTCAAGGTGCATTTTCAAGCTTTTCAAGCATCTTACAGCTGTTGTAAATTACATATTTATATACACATACTTATACTCAAATGATTATTTCCCTACCTCACATTAAATCAGATGTTCTTTATGCTATAAACAACCAAATGTGTGTTTCATAATAGCATTCTACATGAGGATGAAAAATTAAAAATGTTAGAAAAGAAAACTAAGTTTAATATTTCAAAATGTGTGACCCATCTGTACGTAGACTGGGCATCCCATATAACCTGGCTGAGCCAATATAAAACAATCAGCCAAATAACTTTTCAATATATTATTGATTACTATTTTTGAGGTACTTTTAGGTTGGCAGTAAACACAAGTCAGAGGTAAATGGTGTACTTTTCCTCCACTACATGTATTTAATACCTTTAGTTACTTTACAGATGTGGATGAATGATGTGAAATATAATCAAGTGTTAAATCAGACTTTAGTTCCACCTGGAGTAAATCCACAAGCTACTCTGTAGTATACAAAGTCATTCAAACTAGCTGCAACTTTACCAGCTTTGAGAACACTTTCATGATCAATCATTATAAAACATATCATATACAATTATTAGGGATGCTCCGATCGCCAATTTTGGAGCCGATCGCCGGAATCAGTATCGGCCGATACCGATATCGCTCTCTTTTCCTCTCTCCCCCTCTCTCCTGACAGCCCGTCAGTATCTCCTGCAGCTCACTGATCCAGTAATGAGAGACCCGACAGTGAAGAATAAATATATTTATAACTAGTTTAGCTTGTTCCAGAGGTAGATAAAATAGCTAAGTGTGTTAGGTCTAACTCTTAATGTGTGTTTTGCTCCGCTCACCGGTCCGTCACAGCGGGTGGAGCTGCAGGATTTCTGCTTCACACACACGTTGCATACCGCTATTTTACTGTCATTTTCGGACACTTAAAATACTGCCAGACTAGTGAAGCCATTTTGGCGAGCTTGTTTTGCCGCGCACAGAGAAAAGTGTCATGTATTTTACATGCAACGATAGCCTAATCTAAAATGCTATACTATGGCGTACCTTTCGTGTGGTGTGTGGCTCGTCAGCGCAGACTCTCGCATCGTTATTGTTGCACACTTTGCAGGAGGCTACTCTTGGGCTTCGCTTGACCCTCGTCTTAGCCATGGCTTGTATTTGTCTTCTGCTAGCCAACGCTCGTTGAAACGGCAACCTCCTGGCATACTGTCATCTATCACTCTCATCAGAATGCCCAGGTCACACACGTAACAAAAACACTTGCCGGTCACGCGCATTGCGCGGGAAGGTCGGAGCGGAGCTGTTTTATGTAAAAGCGAAGCAATTAAGCGCGCTCCGACTTCTTTATTTTCTTTTAATCTAAAAAGCGAAGTAAAGCATTTACAATTTCAAGCACTTTATCCCAAATTCAAGCACCATTCCCAAAATTCAAGCATTTTTCAAACCTTGAAAACACCTCGTACAATTTCAAGCATTTTCAAGGATTTCCAGCACCCGTACGCACCCTGCTTACACTTTCATTTATAGTAAATCGGACAATCGCTGTTTTTGAATTCTTAGTAGAATATTTACCCTAAAAAGGCACCTCCTTTTTAAACTACATCACCACCAATGCAGTTGTATGACCTAGTTCAGCACTCCCTATGTTTTCTACACTAGAATAATACGCCTTGTTGGAAAAATCGGAACCATAAAATGAACCTTGCCCAGATCATTTTATTACTGGCCATTACAGGTAGTATTAAGTATTATTGTACTCATTGAAATACGCCAACAAACTCCACAATGACTCTTTATGACATATGCCATTCATGTGTGTCATAAACAGATAATGCTTCCTTTGTCTGTTGGCTAAATGCATCATGAAGTTTAAGTAGACTTGGTGGACATGTACTGTAGCTTCAACAGTCAACTTGAAGCAATGCATGTGTTAATGTTCACTATTTTCTACTACAAATAGTACTTTCTCCTACTTTCTTGTAAACGACTGTCCACCAGCTTGTCAAATCCAGTGGGGGGCAGCCATTTGACACATGTACCAATTTGTTTTGTGTTGTCCAGGACAAACAAATGTCTCCGAGCTGTGGTCTAGAACATTTATACAGATTTCATCATGCTGACAATCCTGTAAGCAGAATTGTACATCCTCATGAGGTCTGACAGGACTCTGATGGCTCACTAATTACAGGAGGCTCTACATCAAAGCAATCCCCGCTGGGTTTCAGCTGCTTCCAACTGAGCCTTACTCCAATTTGGCTCCATGACAGCAACAGACAAATCGAGCTCAGAAATAAACAACAAGGTGTTTGGCTTCATCAGAAGGCTCCCTTCATCGATTTGATCTTGCTAGGCTGGATACTTTTGTCAACTCTTGTCCAGAGGACCTTCTCTATGCTGTCTCTGATAGTTTTGACTCTACCAACAAGGTGATGCCAAACTGCTCAGTTAGACTTTGGTTTCTCATCTTTCAATCGCTTGTTGAACGGTTCCTTGGATTTCTTTTCGCAAGCTGTTGATATCACATTTCCATTCACAGTGGGAAGGATCCACACCTAGCCAGGCGTGACAGCTCGGCCTCAGTAGCTGACGAGGCTGAACACCTGATCTTCATTTGTCGTCTACAAAAGCAGCATGTCAGCAGATGCAGTTGTCTGTCTGTCTGTCTGTCTGTCTGTCTGTCTGTCTGTCTGTCTGTCTGTCTGTCTGTCTGTCTGTCTGTCTGTCTGTCTGTGTGTGTGTGTGTGTCTGTCTGTCTACAGTTGAACCTCTTCAGCCACTGTTTTCTATCAGATCATCATCTGGTGGTTAAAGGGGCCCTATTATGCTCATATTCAGGTTTCATATTTGTATGTAGTGTCTCTCCTGGGACATGTCTCCATGCTTTAATGTTCAAAAAGGTCTTTATTTTTCTCAAACTGCCTGTGCTGCAGCACCTCTTTTCACCCTCTGTCTGAAACCAGAGCCCAGTCTGCTCTGATTGGTTAGATGGCTGGCTCTTTTGTGATTGGTCAACCGCTTAGAGATGTCCTGCCCCTTAGTCTATCACGTACAATGTATTTGTGAACTAGCCAATAAACGTGCAAGTGTTACATGTTTGTGTCAATATGTTATGGAAGTAAAAGGGAACTTTAGGATCTCAGCCTTTGCAGACCATTTACATGCACACAAACCTATAACACAGTACAGGAAAGGGAAAACCCCAAAAAGCACAATAGGGCCCCTTCACACATGTCTGGTGTTAAGGCTCAATTGCGAGGTAACTTTATAGTAAAGACAAACAATGAGGTGTCCGACACTGCCCAGATCCTGTGATGTATTGCACTTCTTATTGAGGAAACCGGTTACTCCTACACATTCAAACCTCCATGAATCAGTCTGGATTCCAAAGTGTTTTGCTATCTTCTTCAGTGATGTGACCTTCGACCTTTGTTCCCATTTTTCTAAATTCCACTGACTGAAAACACAGCTTTCTAACATGGAAAAGGGGGGTTTCGGACGTATACAGTGCTTTCTGTTGTTCTCTAGTTTCCTACATTTTCTGATACTTTAACAAACACAATAGGAACCCTGTGACCTCGGAAAGTCCACATACTTAAAGTTTGACTTCTTTGGTTGTCATGTTTCAAAATATCATATTCAACAGGGGGAGCCCAGTGTGATGAAATGGATCTCAATGCCTATGTAAAAGGAGTCATGTTATCAGGAGGAGTTTGTATTGTGAGAAAAACAGTATTGTATTGAACATAAAAAAAGACAAAAAAAATTCACATTTAACAAAACCTCAGTAAAAGGAAAAAGAAAGAACCATGAAAAGACCCGGTCACAAGACAAACTGATACAGTCAGCCTCAGACCTGTAGTGCTCCAAAATCCCCTAGAGTAAAGCAAACTGTTAAACTAACAAGAGATATTTATCTGGGACACGGACAGAATAGATACAAAAAAAATAATAAAATCATGTCTTTGAATAGGGCCAGAAAGACCAGCATATACAGTAACCGTAACTCTGTATAAAGTGGTGCGGGAATGAGTCCTAAACTCTGAAATAAGTAAGCATTTTAGCACTAACGGGTGCCCTCTTCTCAAAGTGAATGTTGTTTTGGCTAGTCTGAAATAAGGTCTGTGTTTAATACAAGCTGAAGAGATTCTGACATTGTGTTTTATGACATCATATACGTCAGTAAATACCCCACTTGTGAATGTCAATCTTTTACCCGTCTTAAAAAAGGCAGTTACTAACAAGTTTCTCAAAGAGAATACAAATTGCATCACAAATCAGACTTTAGTTTCGTGGTGGAGACGTGAAGACATGTGATGTAGTTTGTTTATAGCCTTATATTAGCTATTGACCTCTGGAAGTTGCATGTGTACTTTAACTGTTATTAAAGTGGTATTAATATGTGGGGATAATCCTGCTAACGTACCGTGTAAGTATAGGACCAAATGTGTGTTTGCCACAGATTTTCTTTTCTGCAATATTCCAAAAATCCAACGTACAAATCCCATAGCTTTTTAATTGAGGAAGCCTTTGCGATGCCAACTCCAGGGTCAGCCTACAAAAGTACTTAATCACTGCACCACTCAATAGCGATGACCTATGAGTGGGTTCTAATCTACAGGGCCATGTCCTATCCTATCCTATCCTGTCCTGTCCTGGCAGCAAACCAAATGTGCAGGAAACTCTTTGGTCCTATTCAATTCTTAACATCTAACTGGTAGATGTAGTGAAAAGGAGGAAACACCAGCCACGGCAGCAGTTTCCTTTCTTAACAAGAGATTCTGTAAGCAGGAGAGATGATACCTGGGTCAGTAACCAGATCAGCAGGCAGGACATACAGCGTGTCAGAATCTTTAACGCAGCGTTAAGACACAAAGCACAGAACCAGTGTCAGGGCATTAACGCACGCTACATGTGGAAAACAATCAAGGAAAAACAATTCTCTTTTTTTTCAAACACTAACTAAACTACGTCACCAAAGCTTGACTGGATTTAGGAAAGCATAGACCAGAAAAGCAAACAACAGGCAGCGAATAGGACCAAAGTTCAAAGTGACTGCACTTTGAGGGTTTGGTTGACAAGTCTGAGCAGTGCATGATGCTGAAAGGAAATCCTGTGATGAGCGTCAGAATGAATCATCTAGCACTGAGTGATTCGTCTACCAGTCATAGTTGGCTTTGTGTTTTATTACACCTGTCCCTTCATCATTGTTTCTCCCACTAGCTGAGCCATTGATGAGCGCCAACGCTATGTCCAGCTATTTGAGCTAAAGTAACTCAATTATGCAAAGTTCCAAAATGTATTACTTTTTATTATTGATTGATCTAGGAATTACTATATTGATTAAATCATAACTCTTTAAGACCATAAGTCCAACATTCCAACATTGGACAGCACTTGTTGTTGTTTGTAAATAAGAAATGTAATTACTTTTTAAAACATAAATCAGATTGAACTTAAATGTGCTGATATTTGCCCATTCAACATTTTGTATTTAGAAAGCAATTTTGCATGAACAAAGCAACAAGAGCTAAATTATCCAGAGACAGGATGTATGAGCCGAGTGATTCATTCACTGACTACAGTCTTTGCATCAGGTCTTGACTTGATGTACATACTGACTGAATGACTGACTAACTAACTTTGAGTGATTGACTCTGGGTGTGCCTTGAAAACAGAGTAGGCTGTATCAGCTGACTGACTCAAAGTCATGCCTGTAAATTATTAACAGGATCCGCTGATGGTGACTTGCTCTGGAAATAAGAGTAAGGAGCAGGAGCACTGGAGTGTGTCAGCGAGGATGGAGAATTAGTCATTTCGATCTTTTCTTGGAGTGCCTGTTCAGACAGCTGAGCTGACATCATCCCGATTTGTAACTACCTTCTCTCCCACAGGCTGCAGGGGCTGATTGATAGACACCAGACCGTGTTTCCCTAGTCAAATGTACAGGATTACACATACACTTCTGTTGTGTTACAGACAAAAATGTCTGCATGGCAACACTGATCGATGTTTTCTGTGGCTGTCCAAGTCTGTTCACTGTTTCTATTCCACTAAGTCCTTAAACCAGAGTTCTTCAACAGGGGGTCCGCGACCCCCAGGGGGTCCGCGGAGGTACTGCAGGGGGGTCGCGAAATCTTTGGTTGATTAGACCATTTTTTATATTTCTTTAAAAAAAAAAATTCCAAACATTTTTTTCTCACAAATTGAAATGTCTTTAAATGCACATTAACATGAATCCAACATATTGTAGCGAACGGAGAAATGGAGGCAGAAGACGTTATCTTTCAGTCAGCAATGCACGCATTCAGCTACACACAGTAGCTATCTCAAGCTAGGCGCCGGTTCACTCACAGCAGGAGACTACCCCGGACCTGTCCCACCAGGCCTCCTGTACACAAAGGGGAGGACCCGCCCCTATCGCTGCTGTGTCAATCACGAGGCCGCATGACACACGCTGGCTCTGCCTTTTTTTGAATAGCTTAGTATTGAATGTACAATAACAGAGTAGCTATGTTTATACACGGCACTAGGCCCCGTTTAATATAAAACACAATTGTATGCCATACATATAGTAGGGGGGTCCCTGCTCCAGTTCTCCATCAGTTTGGGGGTCCCTGGCCTGAAAAACGTTGAAGACCCCTGCCTTAAACAATGCCAGAGCCCATACCGTGTTCCCGTTAGTGTTTACTTCCTGTATGCCTTCTTCTGTTGATTTATCTGACGTCCAGCGCTCCGTCTTTTAACCTCTTTTAATTTCTCTATCTTAATCCTCCTTAGCAACGGTCATTATTATGCTTAGCAGCGGTCTGTACAACAGTCTTAACCCTCAGATGCACAAGTGATTGGACCCTACACTCTTCCATAAGTGACTCAAATATGACCCATATTAGAATAATATGTGTTTTTATGCCATTTTTGTAATTTTGGTTAAGAATAATCACTTTTTGTACACACAATGTTTTGGTACACACAAGAAATATTTTATATTTAAATGTTCACGATTTATAATTCACACACGCACGTGTGCACGACTGAACTACTTATCCATGCCTTCATGTCTTCCCGCCTTGACTACTGTAACTCACTGTGACTAACTGGTACAAAATGCACCCGCCCGACTCCTCACACACACACACCAAATCATGGCACCACATCACCCCAGTCCCCGTCTTCCACTGCATCAACTTCAAAATACTGGCCCTCACCTACAAAGCCCTCCACCATCAATATGTTTTATTATACCACTGTAGCACATCGATTCTGGGAAGAAGGAGGTAAGGGAGTAAAGGCATTTAATGACTTATTTTGATCAAACTCGTACACAATCTAGTGCACTGGGGTGGATGGGAGACATTGAAAATGATTGACCTATTTAGGCATACTCTAACAACAAACGTAATACCATGCTGTATACTCCAAATATCTAGAGGATTTAACTCGTGATCGATTATTGACAGTTCAATTTGATTTATTTTTAAGTAAAGTTTAAACCTAAATTAAATGTAATTAAATGTGAAAGTGATTAGAGGCATATACAGGGGCATCTTTCACATAAAACAACGTTTCGCTGGCACAAAATTGATTTGTCAGAAAAGGCAACTTCAATCGATGATCAAATCTGTGCATCCCTACTTAAAAGAGTATGTGTTCTGTCTAAAACTGTGCCCTAGCCCAGCCTGTGTGTGTGTCATTTCTTACCTCGGACTTCACGTCTTTCAGTGTGTGTGTGAGGATGATGTTGAAGACAGCGTGTGATCGACTGCTCTCCTCATTCATGTTGGTGGCAGCAACAGTCCGAGACTTATTCCCCTCTGACATCAGCACCTCGATGTCCTGTAAGAACAAGAGAAATTCAACAATTATTACATATATACAATTATAATTTGTTTTTTTTACAGTACAGTCATTTTTGTAATTCTATGCAGGATTCCTGTTTAAATAGTGAATAACTTTAAAGCCCAATTTGAATTACACAATGTATTTAAATTGGACGTGTTTATAACTAACCCCTTCCAGTTTGATTGGAGGGACTACAAAGCAAACTGCTGCTATCGGATGTGGCAGCCAGGATGCAACACAGCATTAGACGTCAGTGAATCAGCATGACAAAAAAGCATGTTATAAACTATTTTACCTTGTAGCACGCCACAGCTAGTCGAGACAAGCCATCCACGTAGGGACCCAAAACCTTATGTTCCCTCACCCTCAGAGATTGTTTACCCCTGGAAAGAAAATAAAAGCAGGTTTCAAACACAGACAAACAACTCTTGTTTGCACAAATGAAATATTACCATAGAGTACTCAACATTTTATTTTCTATAATGACATTTTGTCCTCTGTACCGTAGTCTGAATTTTGAAATGTCACACTATAATACTCCCCATGGACTGCTAAGGAAATGTAGCTATCTAGCTAACTGTGGGATGGTCAATGACTGTCCATTGTCCCTGTTAAATAATATGACTTGTCCCAGATTAAAAGAAATGTCTTCCAAATGATCTGATGTATAATCAGGAGTTGCATTATAGGCTCAGGTGGTTCTTGCCATCACTACGACTGTCCCCAGTTCATACAGACTCTGTTAGCACTTGGCTCTCTGACCCTGGTTTAAACTTGCTCCAGGCCGGACCACCTCATCATTCTCTGCTTCACGGCAAAGCACATATGGCTGTCAGATGGCCTGCTTCTCTTCGGCCTTTTTTACTGAGGTGAAAGGTCATAAAGTGAGAGTGGGCCAAAGGTCATGCAGTCTGGGGTGGCAAACACAGGCCCGTGGTGCTGATTTACTGCTGAAGTGCTGGACATGAACTGGACTCTGTCAGTGGCTGCAAGGCAGAGGAGTCATCTTTTCTCCCACTGACTACAGCAGCTGGTGGGACCACATCTACCAGCAACTTTCTCTAGTGATAACAACTTACTTCATGTCAAATGTACTCAAGATACTGGTTGTTCAAGTCAAAAGTAGGCTAACTTAGCAGAGACAAACTGGATTTACTTGTATTTAAGGTTGATCCAGCAGCCCATGACTGTTGTTTATTTGTGTTTCAGTCCAAATATCAGGGCTCCCATGGTGTGCATTTGGAAATCAATCTAATTTGAGCTTATTAAATCACGATTGACTCAACATTTTCCGTTAGAGCTTCACACTAAAAGCCATAATTTGATCACTTCAGTGAAACGTTTTTTACTGTTAAGAAGCTGCAACAACTATATTTTATACATAGAGCCAGAGAGGATTAAATGGGCCACAACAAAAGGGTGAGAAGATTAGTTCGGGGTCATACCCTTTGGGGTCGAGCAGATCTCGGACCTTCTCGTTGTAGATCTCCATGTAGGACACCTCAACAGTGAAGCTCTCCTCCTCCCGCTGTTCCTTCTGGGTTCGCATAAACAAAGCACTGCACAGCCGGGGAATCAGACCCGGCTGGTCAACTGAACCCATCATGGTGTACGACTTCCCCGAGCCTGGTTACAACACACACACACACATCCAATTAGAACAGAAAATTGGTGATGTAATGATGAACTTCGAGGAACACAATTGAAGTAAGTTATGCCAATTCCACTGAGTCCTTGCCAAGATGGTGTTAGTGAGTTTGATTTGGTTATTGTCCAGATTCATTAAAGTCTGTTTTACGAATGAGCTTACAAAGCAATTAAGCTGGTGGTTCAGTCAAGGAGACAACCTGGATTCAGAAGGTGCATGGTTGTATTTAGTTTGTACATTAATAACAAAAATAGGTGTTTTTTTGTATACTAATAAGACTAACAAAGCTAAGAGAGCACATGCAAGCACGATGCAAACGTGTGGCTTAGACATAACTTTACATTGTCAGTTTTCTTTATTCAATTAAGATGACTGCAGTAGCCATGGCAGACAACATGTTATTGTATAGCATTAGAAAGTGGCTTTTGTGTATACAGTGGATTGATTTAACAGCTCTAGCAACTGTGTGGAAAGATGTGCAGTGTTTTGTGTTGACACTTGACAGAAGAGAGGCTTTCAACCTTCCCGTTTCAACACATCCTCACTGACACTCCTCTCTTAATCGTTTTACAAAGAGCTTTAGGGCACTGTGCTAATGACGGAAAAGATAAGTTGTTCATATGTTTTGTCCTGTAGTTATTGAAAGCTTGCGAAGGTAACATTGGAAAAGCACGCACGCTTGATTTAAAAAACAATATCCAACTGATTCAAAACAGCCAATGTCGCCACCTTTTTTCAGAGAAAATAGCTAGCAGCAAGAGTTGTAAAAGTCGCCTAATCTAGAAGGCAAGAATGTCCCCAAATTGGCAACACCAATTACCCCATCAAATCGTCATGAAAATAAGCATATCAAAATGAATGCAATAATGAACATGACTATTGTAAGTACCCCCAGCTGTGAAGCTAGAACAGGCTGTGTAGGCCGAAAGAACTGATTGGACGGACTTATTTCATTCCTGCAACACTGACAGATTCCACATTTATGTATTACTCTTGCCATACGATTTGATTTTGTGATTGCTCTTGGGATGTAAAGTTTACATCAGAGCAACAAAAAATGTTGAAGGCCTATTATCCACCCTTTTGTGTATCCACATGGTTCGGCCGTATGTGTGATGTATAAGGCATCTCACTTTGTCTAGAGGGCGTCATGTGTTATTGCTAGGCGCCGGGTAATGCTCTGATTCTCTTATCCTTTCAGTAGGAAGCTTATATTGCGCGATTCTATACACTTTGTTTGTTTGTGTATTTTTCATGGCCGATGTGTTGTATGTGTTGATTGTTTTGGTACTCAGAATTTTGTGTAATTCTAAGGGGGAGAGTGTGACAGTTGTAAATATGCAGAGTTGTTTATTTGTATTTTGGTATCATTTAGTATAATCACACAAATTCTGTGTGCTTCATTTAATGAATGTTCAATACCTGACAAGGTCGGAGATCAGTGGGCGGAACCTCTGAAGTGTGGTCGCTGTGCTCAGAGGATTATTTTTATGGGGACTTCCCCCTTCATATTGTGTCCCTCACGTTTCCTCGCCCCTTTCTGTAAATGTTCCACGTGAGAGGAGTCACTGTGAGGGAAACCTAATATAAGACTGATTTGTTATATCTGTCGTCAGTGATGAAACGGAGATCGTCTAAACTGTATGCTGGCTCGGGTCTCATCCATGAACAACACAAAACACAACACAAAACACAACGCAGAGACCGCTTAACGACACCGGTTACACTTGGTAATTGAAGGCCTCTTATACCCTAAGTTCTGTTATAGAATATTTGTGTCTCATGGGAAGTTACCAGTTTGTCCATAGGCAAAGATACAGGCGTTGTAGCCCTGGAAGGCGTTGTGGAGAAGACTTTCCCCAAGGCACTGGAAGACCACTTCCTGACCTGGAGACAGACACACAAGAGGAACTGTATTTTATTGCACAGTAATATTTAGTCTTTTAACTTGTTTGATTGGCTTTTAATCCATGAAAAATGAAAACTTTAATAATGTTAATGATCAGTTAATTGACTCACCGGCAAATTGCTCCTTATCCGTCTCATCCATTGACCAGAAACAGTAATCATAGGCAAAAACCTGGGAAGGGAAAACAGTGGCAGCACGTGAGGAATCTATGACGGACTATAATGGCGCCATGTTAACATATTATGGGAATTTTTCTTTTATTTGCATTTTTACATTTTCTTGGAAAACATCAATAAATATATAAGGGTGAAATGTAATTCAAATGGTAGCTTGTGTATTCATGTAGTCCCTTAAAAAAAGTTGTTTTTAAATAGCAGTCAAATGTGAAAAAGGCTCATTGTTTGATTTATCTCGATTTCAATTGATGAACAAAGTTTGATACAAATGGTTTCTTTATTTTCATCTTTGTGCAACCTAATGAACTTTTTGTGTCTTGTGATTTTTAGGTTAGGGCATAATGGGATTTTGTCTTCTGATAGAATAAAAAGACAAACGCTGAGTCAAAAGCAACTTTTAAAAAAGTGTCTTACAGTAGCAACAAGAATGAAGCTCTAATCATAAAAAAGCACTCTTCTGGCAAAACATGTTTTACAAATCATTACTTTGTGACGCTGTTTTGTGGTTTATACCAGTTGACAAACTAAGTCTGATAAACACAGCGTCTTCTTTGTTAACAGAGATGATTCACAACTATTGAATTGGCTCCGTGTTAAAACAGTCTGTGAAATTCTGTGTGTGAGCATGCTGTTACCTTGGTTTGATTCCTGATGATGTCGGGGGGGGGGGGGGGGGGGGGGTCAACAGCACCATGTGGAGAGATAGGAAGATGACATTAAGTGCACATGTTACAGAGGATGCATTATGTTAAGCCTTGCAGAGCATGCTTTGGCCATTTAAACAGAATACAAATCATTTTCCTAGCTATCGATTACTGTTCAAGCTAATTATTATGTGGCCCTTGTATTAGAAAAGAGACGGAGAGAAATAACAACACGGACGAACAGAGACGGAATGAGAGACAAAGGCTGAACTGGAGTGGCTGGCCTCGGGCTCGGTCGCTTTAGTACACAATTCATTTAAACTCGGGCCTTGTGCCTGAATAGCTTGTTTACATCTTGTGAGTTTGTCACATGTCAAAAAAACTCCTTAGGGGATTTGGTAAGGGTTTGTGTCTGTGGATGTCAGGATGGGCACTGCTTTCACATCTGAGGGCTCGGGTAGACGGGAAAAATGTCTGGGACTGGGTGGATTGTTGTGGGAATGTCTGTGTGTGGGCATATGTGTGTCTGTGTGTGGGCATGTGTGTCTGTGTGTGGGCATGTGTGTCTGTGTGTGGTCATGTGTGTGTGTGTGGGGGGGGGGGGGGGGGGGGAGGCAGTGTGTGGCAGTATCAGATGGTGGCAGAGAGGGGTCACTGGGTCGCCAGTGGGTCGGGGTCATGCTCACAAATGGTCTAAAAATAATTGACATTTCGAGAGGGGGATTGGCCCTAATATTTGTGTGATATTTGACAGTAAAAACTGAATAAATATATTGATTTACACTGCAGACATATACCCACATGCAAACATGTCAGAATTAAGCACACAGCCAAGAGCCATGTCCTTTAAAACCCATCTCCTCAGCAGTCACTCCTCGGGCATTGGAGGAATGCCAGCGCATCAGGACCAGGCTAATGATTTAAGATAGTTATGTTTTGAAAAACAATAAAACCACAGCATAGAGTTACAGAAATATAGCCCTCCTCTGCAGAACACAGACAAATAATACCAGATGTAAATTACAAGAGCACCGTTTTTTTATACCCAATTCAAGTTTAAGATCTGTTCCTAGAAAGATCTGCCGATATGAGCACTGAAGATGTCTAGATCGCCTATGATTGGCAGAATCACATGCACTCACACTGTTAATGCATTAACTACAGTGACAGCAAGTTTGAAATCACTTTGATGGTCAGCATGTTTTTGAAATGTGCATAAAAGTAAGTTGGTAATAATAAATAAGGGTATTGTGAAAAAATACTACAATTTTATTGCATTAAAAGCAACATGATCTGTTGTAAAAAGTTGCAAACTTCATATTACAGATAATACCAAACAGATTTCCAGATTCTCCATCTTTTCAAAAGTCAAATTCTAGAACTAAAGTGCATTTTTAAGATTTTCCAACGCCATACAGCAATTATAAATTGTAGAGCATGCTTATTATTGCACTGCTTCATCATCTTCTTCGAGTAGACATGGCATACTATGTAACATAACCAATCAGCTGAGGCAATTTATTCAAAATCTAAGTATTTTACTATTTGACAGTGACAATAGCTGGAGGTGCTATTGTTATTTTTTTAACTGCACTAATGAAAAGTCAATTCCTAGCTAAATTTGAATAAAACCAACTAACATACTTCTCGTGTTGTAAAGTGAAAATCATCATTTGGGTATTAACTTCAGCAATCTGGTCAGCGCTTTAATCAAACAGGCTTACTGCAATATGACAATGTCATGACCAGCAGACCCGAGGGAACAGATTCCATAACAATGGCAGTATTGTTTTCCCCATTGACTCATACAAAACACGCATTGCTCTAATGGATTTCTCTAATGTGTACAATTATTTCCTGTCCAGCGTTTCGATGAAAACATTCTCGCCCAAGTCCTAAAAGTGATGCTTTTCTCCATTTGCTTTGTTCTGCTCTGATCTTCCTCACTACAGGCCACCCGTAGTCTTCCTCCTCCTCTGTCTGTGCGGAGCTGGCCCAGAGGGCAGCTGTCAGTCAGAGAGTTACATCAAGTCAGATGATGAGGCCAGAGGAAGGGGATGATCAGAGGATAACACACTCACTCACACTATCCTTGTGAGGACCCTAAACCCAGTTGTTCGATTTCTTAATATTGTCACCATCAATATGAAATGCTTGAACTTACATCGTATCTAGCTCTGACCCTGAGCTCTAAGCTGCATCACAAAAAAAACCTTCATTAAACATTTTTTTAAACTTAGCTCTTGGTAGGATAGAAGCGCAGGAACACACACAAAGACATCCACACACCTGTTTCCTTTTAACCATGCACATTCTTCACAAAACGCTCAAGCCGCAGTTCTTCACGAACCAGCCAGCTTCCAGTCCAATCTGTAATACTTCACATTTCACTGACACTCCACTGCTGACGTGCTGCATTCACAGAGGAAATGCATGCAGAGTAACTATCTGATGCCCTACTGATTCTAGCAGCTCTCTTTAAACCAGGATGCAAATAGGACATCTTCTATGCTACTGTCTATGGAGGGGAAAAAAGAGAAGTATTGAAATAGGCTGGGGGTCTATAGGGGGTGTTTTAGTGGGTTTTCATTGTCAAAATGTCAGTTGTAAAAAACGATATCTTATTTATGTAAAAAAGAATCCCTTATCCAGAATTAGAATTTCTAATATGAAATTATGAATCCCTAATTCCCCATTATTTTTGATTCCATGACGATCCTCTCTGGGGCTTTAAATGCATCCTTCATGCCTTCTATCTATCTCTCCAACCTCCTAACACTCTAGGGGTGAAATTGGTGCGGCAGGTTTTGACGTACATAGTGATGACAGCTGTCACGATTGCTTCAAAAGCTGCAGGCGAGAAGGGTCGCCCATGTCTTGCTCCGATTAACGCAAGCTAGGGGACCTGCGACCAATGAAATGGGAGAATGAGGTAGTCAGGAGAGCCGAGAGCCCGCCTCCCTCGGTCCTCGAACACTTCCATTCGTCCCTCCTCCCTTCGGCATGCTCCTCCGCTCTGATCACCGTCATTTAAAAAATGACTTAATGCATGGCTGCTCCCCCCCCCTCCCCTCTCGCCTTCTCTACTGTTCTTGTATTCTTTTCTTTTTTTTATCTCTCCGGGACTGTACCATCCACGGCTGTGTAGGGAGTGAGGAATGAGGAATGGAGGATAGAAAGGAGGCTGAAGGTAGCCAGGGGGGTTATGGACGAAAGAGGCTGGGCCTGAGACTGGAATGTTAAGCTGAAGCAGAAACGGCATCAGTGTAACACAGTACATACGGATGGACCAGGACATGGAACAGGCTAATAGCAGCAGCACTGAGTAACGTTGTATGGGACTTTAGTTCCCCACATATTGTGAAAATGGCAGACAGCCAAGCATATCCTATATCCTATTTCTGACAACTAGTTTTTAGGAGGAAAGCTTTAACAAAATCCAACTATATGTATTAGATACAAGATATGATGTGGTCTCTTTATAATATATTGCTTGACAGTTAATCCTGAAAATTAAAACATAATCACTCCCAAAAAGGGCAGTAACACAAACATGTGTTTATTAATCATTCCTGATTGATTTTGACCATAGCTAGCTTATAGCGAGTGGAGCATGCAAGAATCATGTATATGCATGTGCATGACATTAAGCCCTCACATCATAAAGAAACCCTTATTTTCCCTTTTTATCCATGTGATGCACATTAACTGAACCCCTGTGTAGTTAAGCTCTTGCATGCTAGTTTGCATACTCTTCAAAGAAATTAAAAAGCAAAGCTGACCTAGAAATAGAAATAGTTTGCATGGTTGATTTTTCAGCATCTAGCCATCAACAACAAGGAGCTATTTCATACGCAAGCAAGACATTTTCTTCCTGTACCATACAGGACACGATGAATTCCTGTAAAGATGCTAATTTCATACATTCCTACCATCTCATGCAGTTATGTTATCCGTGTGTTGGAGCTATATATTGATTTATATTATTTCGTAGTTAAACATTTATTTTCTTGCTGTTTTTGCTTTGGTAATTGTATTCTTATTTAGTGTAATTGTTTTAGTTAATTCAAGTTATTTAGTATGCTTTTATTTTGAAGGTGGTTTTTGGCCCCTGGCGATTTTGTATTTATGTATTTTGGTGGGGCACCAGAGAGGACACCTGTTTTTTTACCAGGATAAGCCACAGGGAAAGAGTTTAGGTGAAACAACTGTACTTGATGTTTGGTTAATAAAATACAAGAACATAAATGCACAAAAGGATATTCTTGCCTGGACTGAAACATTAGCTTACTGGTGCCGCAGAGGCAGTTTCATTTTGGGTTCATTTTCTGTTTTATTTCCCTGTAATTGTTCTGCTACGCCGTGCAGTCCAAAAATCAAGGGCAGTGGCGACTATGGAATCCTCCCCATCTCCTAAATACCTTAGGAGATGGACCAGAGCATTTTGTCTGCTATCCTCCCTTTTCTTTGGAGCTACTATGCTGCTAGAGAATGGCACATGTATTGTTTCCTCCTCAGCTCTCAGGCTAAATGCTGACTCTCTTAATATTAACTCTGGTTTAAGGTCACGGAGCTAACTGATGTGTTTGCATTTTGTTTCAGTATCTTCTCACTACAGCCCAGACAAACTTAGTGTGTGCTCATTTAAACTCTTTCTCCCATGGCTTACATTTTCGGACTTTCTTAATGCGATGTGTGTCACCTGACAGAAATCTAAGATATACTTGAGTTACCTCACACATTTCAAAGAATATGTTGCACTTAATCCCATGTTGCTAAATCAGTATTTTAACTATCCAAAGCCGTACCTAAGCCTGGTCAAGTGGTCTGAAACTGGAAAATGGTGGAGAAAATGCTCCAGTGTAGCCCAGTGGATGAATGACATCCTCTTTCCTTCATTTGTCTAAGCCTGTCATTATGCTAGTGGGCTGTTAGAAACTCCCACCATCACATGGATGGTTCAGGACTGTTTAACCACTTTGCCTTTATCCTGCATCAAAACAC